TGCATGCACAATCGTTACTTTTTAGGCACTACTTGCTAGACACTAAAAACTTCCTAACATAGATGTACCACTTTGTATTGTGAGCAGCATCATGCAGAGCATAAATAAGCCACCTCACTGCTGCCATTTCCTGAATCAAAGACGACACCTTTAACAGTTGCATAGTGGCAGATGTTTAATATGTGCAACTTCTCCTATCACATGTGGTACGCAGACCCTCCCAAGTGTTCCTATTTTCCAGGAACAGTCCTAGATTTACAGAAGCCTATCTCAGTTTCTGATGTGGTCCTGGAATGTCCTGCTTTTCCTTAGGATGTCCCTATTTTCATCAGAAAAATGTTGGAGGGTATGTAGTTAGGCAACTCCCAAGCCAAGGAGAGGAGTACAACCTTTAGAAGACATCTGAAGCCAGCCCTGTATAGGGAAGATTTAAAAATGTTTTATTATGTTTTTATATATGTTGGAAGCTGCCTTGAGTGGCTGGGGCATCCCAGTCAGATGGGTGGGGTATAAATAATAAAATTCTTCCTCTTATGGAATAAGAATAATATTCATTGGAGAAGTGTTGGAGGGTATGCAATAGGAGAGTTCTTTAGGGAAAGAACTTATGTTCTTTTCTTTCTCTCCTTGGAGGCTACATCTGTCCCCCCCCCCTCCCCCTATCTTACCTTACCTCCTCACTTTCCTGACATTCCAGTGCAGCAGAAAGCAGAAGAGGCTCAGTACTCCACCATAAGGTAAAAAGGTAAATAAGGTAAAGGACCCATGGATGGTTAAGTCCAGTCAAAGGCAACTATGGGGTTGCAGCGCTCATCTTGCTTTCAGGCCGAGGGAGAAGGCGTTTGTCCACAGACAGCTTTCCGGGTCATGTGGCCAGCATGACTAAAACACTTCTGGCGCAATGGGACATCGTGACGGAAGCCAGAGCACATGCAAACACCGTTTACCTTCCCGCCACAGCGGTTCCTATTTATCTACTTGCACTGGAATGCTTTCGAACTATTAGGCTGGCAGAAACTATGACAGAGCAACGGGAGCTCACCCCATCACGCAGATTTCAACCGCCTACCTTCTGATCGGCAAGCCCAAGAGGCTCAGTGGTTTAGACCACAGTGCCACCTTTACTCCACCATAGCCCAAATCAACAAATAATGATACAATTTGAAAACATGATCCAAAGGCACATTTAAGAAGCCACACTGAGTTCTAAGGGTAAAGTGGCTGATAAGTCACCAGTGAAGTAATTAAAGGCTGGATTCTCCTAACCCAGCGTTCCTCAACCTGGTGCGCTCTAGTTATTTTGGACTACATGGAAGTCGTAGTCATTGGTCACGCTGACTCTGACTGATGAAAGTTGTACTCCAAAACATCTGAAAAGCAGCAGGTTTTCAGGGGAAGATGTTTCTAAGGATTTCTCGGCTGTGTTGCAAAAAATAAAAAATAAAAAGAATGTCCCATTCCTTAGTTTCACCAAGGAAAGACTCCACATGCCCTCCCAGAGCCTATATGTAAAAACTATTTTCTTGACCTTCCTTTTAGGAAAAGGAATCAGTGACTTGTCCAGTGGGACTGGAAATTCATAGCTGATTAGGAATTTGAACCTTCATCTTCTTAAAGTCTCAGGCTAGCATCCTCTCATCTTATATCTCCATATAAAATGTTTAAAAAGAGAAAATAGTGATCTAACATGCTCCAAAAATGCACAAGTAATCATCATAGGCTGCAGTAAAGCTCACTCTATTTCCTGGATCCCACAAGGTCATTGCAAAGGAACCACATAATTATGGCTTCAACCGCATTTTGAATAGAAATAAGAAACCAAGAAAGAGCTGACAATTTTCCAATCTAGTTCAATATTACTTCCATTAGACGCCTAAGCCCAGTTCAAATGTAGCAGTAATATATGATGAGTACAACCTTAGTTCACACACTCCCCAAACTTCTGCTTCCAGTTGTAGAATACAGCAGTTTGACCACTTCATGTGAACGCTGCAAACTGGTTTTGTGTTCAAAGCAGATATAAATGAAACCACAACAGAACTGTGACTTCAGATTCTGGTTTGGAAACAGAGGCTTGCACAAACTACTTTCTGCTGCAATGGCAAACATCAGAAGAAGCAAAACTTGAAGCAAACGCTTCAGATCTCGTTCCCCTTGAACCCAAAGGGTTTAGTGTGGCTCCTTCTAATAACAAACCACATTTTTTGTTGTCCCATCTGAATCAGGCCCAAAACTGTAGACCTATTCAGGAGTTCTCAAAATGTATCTGTATCTGTGGAGCAAGTGCCAGGCCTGCACTAAGCAAGAAGATCAATAGGGGAGACATAAACCCAGTTGCATGAATGCAGTTACTATCCTCCTTGGTTACAATACTCATGCAGAGTTCCCAGCCATGGGGAGGATCATAGGCACATTCAGTTAACCACATACCTACAATCCCGCTTTAGATATTCATGCTCAACAGGGGAAAGTCGGGGGAAGAGAAGCAGGAGTTAATTATATTAACGTTAGCTGCATTTACTAATTTAACAAGAATGTGTGTACGATACCTGTGCCTGTTCCTACACAAGAATAACTAGAATAAAATAACAGACCCATGAAACGAAGTGAGACAAGAGAAAGAAGTGGGGATTTTAAAAGCTCTCAAGCAATTGCAAGGAAAAAGGAACGCATGTACATGAATTTGAAACTGAAATAAGCATTAGAAAGGGGTGTTAGGCAGAAAAGAAAAGAAAATCATAAACTGGCAAAACAACAAAGACTGTTTGATGGGGAGAACCGAATGGGGAGTAGAGAACACAATAGGAAGGACAAGATAATTTTGTTTAATTCTATGCACACACACACACAACTAAGTCCTGCTGAATTCAATGGGATTTATGAAGATGGCCAAAGGCATATTTTTTGCCTGAGACAGACAAGATGGCAGCCCCTCCCCATTCCACATACAAAAGCTGGTTGGACTGGCAAGCAGATCTTACTTCACCACTGCAGACAAGGTAGAACCGTAGAATTCTAGAGCTGGAAGGTACCTTGAGGGACACCTAGTCCAACCCCAGCAATGCAGGAATTGGTTGCCGTCCTCTGCAGACATTTCAGATTGTCAATATCCTTCTTAAATTGTGGTGCCCAGAATTGTGGTGCCCAGACCACAGGTGTGGTCTGACCAAGGCAGAATAGAGCAGTACTTCTGTTGATGCAACCTAGAATAGCATTCACTTTTTTTGCTGCTGCTGCATCACACTGTTGACTCATGTGAAGCTTGAGGTCTACTAAGACCACCAGATCCTTTCCACATGTACTGCTGGCAATTCAGGTGTCTCCCATCTTACAGTGTGCTGTAGGCAATGCAGGTGTTACATCCATATTACAAAGTGATAGAAAAACTGCCTGATTTAAGCAAACATATGTGAGAGTGTCCTATTTATTTTCCTACAAGCCTCGTCTGCTAAATAAAAAGCTCTCGGAAATAAGAGGTGAACATCTAAAATGAGCAAAAAGTGACGGTCTCTTCAAAATTAGAGCCATGAGTGGCCATAATGGGATCTTTTTGTTTGTTTGTCAACAACATTAAAAGCATTCCTTCCTCCTTATCAGATATTGAGTGTTCTATGGAGCTACTTTGCTTAAAACAGTGCAATTTTGTTTTTGAAGAACATCTACCAATCATCTGGCAGTTTTTCAACATGCTTCCATTTATCAATGGAATATTATTAGGCCACACTCAATTCCTTATGTCTAAAAAGATGAATTTTATATACAGTCATACCTTGGTTCTTGAACGCCTTGGTATGCGTATGCTTTGGCTCCCGAACGCTGCAAACCTGGAAGTAATGTTCCGATTTGCGAACGTTCTTTGGAACCCAAACGTCCGACGTGGCTTCCAGTTGAGTGTAGGAAACTCATGAAGCCAATCGGAAGCCATGTCTTGGTTTGCAAATGTTTTTGGAAGTCAAACAGACTTCCGGAACAGATTCCGTTTGAGAACCAAGGTACGACTGTACATTGTCGATTGCTGATCAAGTGGTAATGAAGACATGCTTTTGAGTGGGGTGGGGTGTGCAAGTACGTGCACACAAAAGAGAAGGAGAGAGAGAGCACACATTCAAATGACAGAAATGTTATTTATTCTGTCCACTGGATACCCACCCCATAGTCCAGGGATGGGGAGCCTGTGCTCCCCCCCCCCACAAAGGTTGTTGGCCTACAACTCCCATCAGTCCCAGACAACACGGTTCATGGTCAGGGTTTATGGGAGTTGTAGTCCAGTAACACATTGTGACTATATTCAGCAGGTTGTCATTAGATGTTAGGGGAGAGGAGAAGTGGGAAAGCTTAACCCTTCCCCTGCCTATTGCTTTTCCACTGCATTCCCCTTCTGAAACTTCTTTTCTCTAGCCATTGTTCATTGTCTATTGGCCCTGTTTAGGGAAGTCTGATGCTGTATTGTTTTTATATTCCATTGGAAGCCGCCCAATTCAGGTTCTCATGCCAAAGCCTTCGATTCAATTTCTAGTCAGACCCCAGAAAGATATTCTAACAAGAGCAACATTGTAGAGGAAAATCTGTTAAGAACTTAAAAGTTTTTTTCACAGAAATTCTGCTCTATAATCTATGGTTTTAAATCACACAAATTATTCATTTAAATGCCAAATGCAAGATTAGAATTACATGTTTATTAATTCATGTAGCCGAAAACAGCGCAGCCAATGCAAAATGTCTGTTTACAAATCAATCACTCACTTACATTTTTAATAGATGTTTGAGCGGTGATTTGATTTAAGGACAGGCAGTCAGGAAGTCTAACTAGACCTGTTCATAAACCTGTCAGCAGATCCTGTTTCTGCTTAGCTGCAGGGAAACAAAACAAAACAAAACAAAAAAACCTAGCTAAAAGCATTATCATATTAATTGGTTCTGTGTCAAAAATGCAAAATGAAGATGTTTTTAACCTCCTGCTATTCCTTTATTATTAAATGACAGCAAATTCTAATGCTCACAGTTGCCACATGCTCTGTTTCCACTTGCTCTGTTGCTCCTTTGGTCCAGTGAATTTTCGGATTCTTTGTATGGGTACTGAAGAGTTGTATCCAGACTTCGGAAGCCTTCTTTGAGAGAGTGGTGCTTGTAGTACTCCACAAGTTCCTTCCAGAAGACAGGGGGAAATAGAATAGAAATCTTTAGTTTGTGCTCTTCTCCCACCAGTATTTAAGGCACAGAAACTTTAATGCAGCTTTATAGAAATAGATGCACCCAGTTCACTACCTGTGCAGGAAGAGTACTGGAACTATATCGGTACTCTTTGCTTGTTATTGAAGAGGTACTTGTGTGACAAAAGATCGAAGACAAGGCACATAAATTACACAAACAGTACAGGTTTAATTCATACATGAGAGATATTGCATTTGCATTTTCAGCATTCAGGAATTAAGCTGGAGGGCATCTGCATACGTGAGACTGGCCTATTTATCATAAAAAGCAGGTGGGGGTAAGCGTGTCAGCTTCTTAGTGAAACAATTCTCACATTAAGAAGAAAAAATATCCTGCACACTGAAACAATCATGCCAAGCTAGAAACATTCACCATGGCACCTACATTTCTATGCACAGGGAATTGTGAGCCCCTCTTCAGGGGTGTAAGTCCTAACATATGTTTATTACTTTGCCTGGCATTTGTGACTTTCACCTCACATTCCTTTTCCCCATGTGGTTATCATTAACTCTACACTTGTATTTTTCCTTGTACATACACTTCAGGTGTATGTGACATATTTTTCTCATATGGTTTGGCTTCCTGATACAATTACAAACCATTCACATGATGTTTTGACCCTTGGAAAGGCCATTATTTGTAATGCACACCAGGAACCCATGCCATACAGGTAGAAGTCTTTGCATGCATTCAAGCCAGTGTGCAAGTAAACACAAAAACTAAAACTGTGCTGAAGTTTCTCATTGTCCAAGATCAGCATATACATTTATCCAACTCCTAATGGTCAGCAGTAAAAGTTAGCAATCACCATTTGTAAAAACACCAGTGCTAAACGTACTGACTAATCCTGAAGCTGTAATAACAACCCACCAGAAGTTCTCCTGCAGCTTAGAAAGTGAGGAGGTTTTAAAATGATGATAAAATGAGGTTTTCTACAGTTTTGCAATCAACAAACCAGACACTCCTGTCCAGTTGCTTTGTAGTTACATGTCCTGAAGATCTTTAATGTTAACTTCTTACTCTAAACTCTCAATTGTTATTTAGAATTCTGTTAACTGTACGATCAGACCATCCAAGCAAACAGCCTTTTGTTTTGTCAGAACCTTATTTTTGTGGGCCAACTATTGTTTCTTTCCGATATTTTATATGGCTGTTACGGAAGCATGAACAATCTTTCTGAATTTCAATATGAATTGGCCCTGATATGGCTGTTCCAAACTAAGGTGTGGATTGCCACATAGCTATCAACCAGGTTTCATACTTCCTGAATCTTCTGACTCTGTTCTCCACTTATCAAAATGATTGTTTAAAATGCTTCTGTTTAAAGAAAATCATTCTTAGAAACATGTATTGAAATACTTATCTAAAAGCTGATTTAAGAACAAAAATACAGACAGTAGAGAACAGACTTATGAGCAAACACATGCAGAAGTGACAAGCATCAGTTAAAGGCTGATTCTTCCATCCCTAGTTACTGCCCTCCAGCCCAATTTAAAACCCTCTCTTGTTCTCAGTTGTGTTGCAAGAAAAAGTTGAATTTTCATGGAGCAACACAATTATGTGCAGGCATGTGGCATAAGGAATACATTAGAAGGTGAGAAAAAACTCAGTAAGCAAATGATCTTTTTTTTTTAATGCTCATGAGTCATACCGCTCATAAAGGAAACTCATATATACCAAACTAATTCTTAATTGAAGCTTCCAAATGCCTTTGAGCTCCTCACATGCTACTGTATGATCATATGTTCCTTAAAATTAAAAATGACATGGTAGAAAATCCTTTTCAGCATATCTTCTCGCAAATGTAGGTATATACAAAGTGCTTAAAACTGCACAGGTGAGCCAGAGATTTCCAAACACTGACTACAATCCAACCAAAGCTATACAGTTAAATCCATTTCGATTTCCACTGCAAGAAATTCAAGTACACACTTAATACAATTACTGGAATGAATGGGACTTAGAAGGGTTTAGCTTTGGCTCGATCATTAAGATCGGCTCAGTTTTGAACTCCTTATGATCTACAGGAATCTTGCCAGCATGAAAACCTTTCCCTACTGATGGGTTGATTTTCTCCCCAAACACAAAATCTGTCATAACACTATTTCTGTTTTACCTTTATCTCTACAGTGTGCAATAGTATCTTTTCTGCTGATGGCAACATATGAGAAAAGTAGCTGAGAAGAAAATCGCGGAAGGCCTCACGCGGGTTCAGTTTCTTATTAGACATCAGCCCTATTCAGGTGTTTGGGCAAACACATAAGGGCTTAAACTGTGGAGGAAGACAGGGGTGTGTATACCAGCCCAACTCCAAATGCCCCACATGCTCTGGCACCACATTAGACCCCCATGCATTCAGTTGAACACGCTCCAAAGATCCCTGCGGTCAGGAACGCTTCTTCTTCAAACCTTCAGGTTTAAAACACAGCTGGCACACTTCGGGGTATAGGGTGGGGCTTACATGTGTGCTCCCTTCTCTTCCACAGTTTGCCTGAAAGCCAAAATAGGGCTAAGCTGAATACTGTGTGTGCCCATGTCTATGTGTGTGTGTGTGTCGAACATCTGTGTGCAAGGAAGCTCCAGTTCCCCTTGTCAAAGGATTGCTTCCTTCTTCCTGTGCCTTTCAAATGTTCCAAAAACGGCAGGTCAGCTGTCTGTGAACATGCCATCATCTCACCTCCCCACTTTCTGCTGGCTTTCAAACAGTGGGAAAAAAGGCTGGCCTACAAGATTCTTACTAAGCACACAAGACATCAGGACTCTTGGAAACAACAACTGCTAACTTTCAAAGAAGATGAACTGTGATAAGAAGGTTTTTTTAAAAAAAAATCATCAGATGGCATTAAGAACCGGTCAAGGCAGCATCTCCTGTTATCTTTGGAAGGCATAAAGCACACTTTCAAGAGCCACCTGTATATCAGAAGATGAATGCAAAATGAAAGGTGATGATGGAACTATAAGGTACACCTCTGTGTCAGCGGTGATAAACTAAGAGCTTCAGTCTGAAAGTGATAACTGTAGCCTGCATGTCTGCTCTGCAAGACTGAAGTGTTTATTATAATTCACTGCCGTATCACATGATCTTGAACAGCATGTACCATTTTGACTCCCCAAAAGTGCAAGCAACAAGACAAACTACTCAAATGTACAGATTCCAAATTCCCCTTTGAGAGTCAGTATAGTGCAGTGCTTTGAGTACCAAAGACCACAGAGGATCCAGAATCGAATTCTCACTGAGTCATGAAACTCACGAGCCTCAGTACTTCTCTCTCTCTCTCTCTCTCTCTCTCTCTCTCTCTCTCTCTCTCCCCTCCCTCCCTCCCTCTCCCTCTCTGCATAACCCACCTCACAAGGTTGCTGTAGGGCAGGTATAGGCAAACTCAGCCCTCCATATGTTTTGGGACAACAACTCCCATCATCCCTAGCTAACAAGACCAGTGGTCAAGGATGATGGGAGTTGTAGTCCCAAAACTTCTGGAGGGCTGAGTTTACCTATGCCTGCTATAGGGGAAGGAACCTGCAAGTCACCCTGAGCTCTTTGGAGCAAAGCCGGGACAAAAAGGTAGTAAAATCAATCAAGATAAATTATATAACATTTCCAGATGGCACTTGTATTGAGTTTTGGGGATGCTGTCATTTTCTGGTTCTACCAAACAGTTCATATGTGAACATTTTCCAAACCCCAAGATAGTCAAGGCACAGTTGTTTGCGGTTTTTATTGGAGGCACACTTCAGTCTCATGTTCCAAATACTTTTCAGTATGAAAAAGTGCTACATGCATTCAACTTCTGCCTCCAGGGCAAGTGCCAGCTTGCCCCCGTGACCATGGGTGCCTAGGGCTGTGGGTGCCATGCAGCCCTGTCACCTAAATTTGTGGGTGCCTGCTCCCTTCATGGGGAATTTTGTGGGTGCTCAGGCAGCCAGGGCCCCAGGGAGTTGGCAACTATGCGCCAGTGCTTGGAAGAGCTACACTCTGGGGTTTGTTTCTTATTCAGGAATCAGGACTGAAAAGGTTTTTGTCATATAAGACTATCTGCCTTGGGCTTTCATTGTGGCCTTGAAAGTCCTTTACACAACTACAAGGGAGTAAACTGAACTCAGTGGGACTTGCCTCTGAATAACCATGCAGAGGAGCAGGTTTTAAAACACATCTAACAAAAATTATCCTGCCTGATGTAAAGCAGACCATGCATTTCTAATGATAAGCTAGATGATCCTACAAAGAACTTTTAAAATCTAAAGGAAGATAAGCACGTACCTACACCCCTTGCACGACTCTTTTCTTCACTAGTTCTTCTACTTTTAATTATTTATCTTTTGGGGATTTTAGTATCTTACATTTCAGGGCAACAGTTTGGAATTTTAGAATTCTAAATATTTGTTCTAACTTGCATTTATGAAGGAAATCAAGCTCAGCAGGCACACCCTTCCCTTGGTTTTTATTCTGGAATCCCTGCAAGCTCCAGTTAGCAAAGATGTGATAATTGGGGCCCCACCCTAAGCACTTTTCCAGTTTCTTATATCTCCGCACCTCATTTGCATTAATCACTTAAACAAACTTTAAAGCCTGCCTGGGCCTCCTGTTGTTATCAATTCACTTGAGTCAGAGAGAAAAGCCACTACCAGAACAGGGATGGGCAGCTGACCTGACCTCCTTGCCAGAGTTTTTGTGGACTGCAAGTTAGGTGGGATGCTTGTTCTGGCATCATCAGAGTTACAGAGGCAATCAAACATATAACTGGATCATTTCTATCATGCCCTTATAAGCCAAAGATCTCAAGACGAGTAAAAACAATTTCAAGGAAATTGCAATACAGTGGTGCCTCGCAAGACGAAATTAATTCGTTCCGCGAGTTTTGTCGTCTTGCGATTTTTTTCGTCTTGCGAAGCACGGTGTCGGGAAAGTTTTGGAAAAGCTTCAAAAATCACCAAAGTCTTTAAAAACCTCAAAAAAAAGGCTACCACACCGCGTTCTATGAGTTGCTCCTCAAAGTCAAGTCGCAACTGTATTAACGGTGTTAAGGAAAAGGAAACAAACTTGCAAGACGTTTCCATCTTGCGAAGCAAGCCCATAGGGGAAATCGTCTTGCGAAGCAGCTCAAAAAACAAAAAACCCTTTCGTCTAGCGAGTTTTTTGTCTTGCGAGGCATTCGTCTTGCGAGGTACCACTGCACTGATAAAGTCATAAAAAATTACTCTAAGATACACCACAAATATATCCAAGGAACATCAGGGTTAACACCCAAACACCTGTGTTTAAAGCCATCTTTTGAGCTGGTGACTAAACAACAGCAGTGACGATGCAAACCAAATTTCAAGGGACAGGACAGGCATAGGCAAACTTGGCCCTCCAGATGTTTTGGGACTACAACTCCCATCATCCCTGACCACTGGTCCTGTTAGCTAGGGATGATGGGAGTTGCAGTCCCAAAACATCTGGAGGGCCGAGTTTGCCTATGGCTGGGATAGGAAGTTCCAGAGCTGGGATGCTACATGGGGAAGCCCCCCACACCACACCACACCACACCACACCACACCCAATGCACAAATCCCACTGATGGGACACAAATGATGGTCAGCCTGGCTGATCTTAACTCCTGGACAGAGTAATTTAACACAATACAAAAAAAATAGCAAAACCTAAATGAAATCAATATGTTCCCTTCCATCACATCACATGGTAATCATTTATTCTGGGCAAACTTATTCCGGAAAACTTAATTCAACACCTCATTCTGTTACATTTTAAATGCTGTAGTGGAGGAAACACCTCCTCAAAACAGTATTAGTTATCACTGTCATAGAGATACAGGGATCTGGGAAGAATGCAAGAGACATTTTTAAGAAATCTCTGAAGTTCTTTGTACAAGCAGACTGAGCATGATCCCTGAATTCTGGTTATGCTAAGAAGTAAGTTCAGAGATCAAAGCAAAATCATAGAGTCACAGAATTGTGGAGTTAGAAGGGACCCCAATGGTCAGCTAGTCTAGTCCAACACCTTGCAGGGAAGGGATCTCAATTAAGCATCCATGACAAATGACCGTCCAACATTTGCTTAAAAACCTCCAAGGAAGGAGAGTCTACCACCTTCCGACAGAGTCTGTTGCACTGTTGAACAGTTCGATGTATAGTCGGAATCTTCTTTCTTGTAACTTGAAGCCACTGGTTCAGGTCCTATCCTCAGGAGCAGGATAAAGCAAACTTGCTCCATCTCCCATGTGGCAGCCCTTTAGATATCTGAATATGGCTATCATATCTCCTCTCGGTCTCCTCTTTTCCAGGCCAAACATACCCAACTCACTCAACTGTTCCTCTTAAAGCTTGGTTTCGAGACCCTTGATCATCTTGGTCACCCTCCCCTGCACACGTTCCAGCTTGTCAATATTCTCAGAACTAGACACAGTACTCCAGGTGTGGTCTGACCAAGGCAGATTAGAGCAGCACTATGACTTCCCTAGATTGGGACACTGAACTTCTGTTGATGGCAGCCTATAACAGCATTAGCTTTTTTTGCTGCTGCCTCACACTGCTGACTCATGTTAAGCTTGTGGTCTACTAAGACCCCTAGGTCCTTTTCACATGTAATACTGAAAAGCCAGATGTCCCCCATTTTATATTTGTGCAGCTGGTTCTTCCTGCTTAAATGTAGAACCTTACTTTTGTCCCAATTGAAATTTATTTTGTTTGGGCCCAGTCATCTTGAATCCCAATTCTGTCTTCTGCAGCATTAGTTCCCCTCCCAGTTTGATGTCATCTGCAAATTTGATGAGCATCCCCTATTCCATCATCCAAGTTGTTTATAAAAATGTTTAGCATAACATCTAATCATTCCGTTCTTTCAAATCACTGCTTTTTGCTTTGCACAATGGAAGCATAATGCATAAACTGCTCTCTCATCAGCAATTCATTCAATATTCTCATTCTATTCAGCCACTTTTAAGTCTCTAAAAGCAAAATCAATGAGGGCAAGCTTTAGACCAAATAAGCAGAGGGGAAATGTACTGTTATTTATGAAACACAATAATCGCACAGTTTGACTGGACCAAAGCTCCACCCCAAATGATTGCTCAGGACTACTTCAGATACAACAATTTGCATAAAAAAGGGGAAGAATTGGTGACACACACACTTCTTTGGAAAAGACCCCATTTAAGACTGCACCAAAGTAGCACGACAAAAGGAAGAATGAGTCATCACATCTTATACCACTACCAAAGAAATCCCTGAGAAGCAAATTCAGAAACTGCAAGAATATATAACTCATCCATCTCTTGGTTACTGAGAGACAATAGTGTTTGTGAACATAAAGGGATCATTAGTGGACCTTGAATTTACCCAATCCATCAAAAAACTGTTTTTTGACATTTCCATCTCAACAGTGAATTCCACTGATTATTATGTATTGTATGAAAACTACTTCATTCCTCTATCATAAACCTGCTGCTACAAAATCCATGCATTGGGAGAAAAAAGTAAACTACATTTTTATTTTATCTGTTACAGATCAAAATAATTCTAATTATCTAGTAGGATGGATTGCCTGGACATTCATGATTAAGTATATTATTAATATTTTAATTAGTATAATGAAACACCACAAACTACGGAACGTTACTAGTAGGGCAAATCAAAGAAAAAACTAGCAGTATAGAGAAAGACTATATCCTGTATTTTTGACATGTTTGTAGGGTGACTGATTTGCTAGGGATAAAAACTATATAAATAAACCAAGGCAGTTTGATCTGTTTATCTGCAACATATACACATGTTGCTTGATGACCTCGAAATGTGTTCTGATAAAGGGCAGTCTTTTTCCACACAGCTACTGGGCTGGGGGTGGGGGGGGGTAGACAGCTCTACAGTGCTTGGTTGCATTTGTTGCCTCAGTTGGAAGACAGATTCAACTTTTTAATTACCACTTGATCACCAGGATTGTGAATGCAAACAGTCTTAGAAGCTAACCAATTCACTGAAGCCATAGTAAGTATTCTAACAGTAAAAAAATATACTGACTGTTTTAGCATTGTTCTTGTGTATTTTTTTTCTAGAAATGCAAAGAATCAGTTTTCAAAAAGATAAAGTTAGATGATATATTCACAAAGAGAGAAATCAAAACTGATGCTTACCATTAAACTTTTAAATTTCCTATTTTCTGCAATGTGAAAAAAGCATTCTCTTGTGAAAATCTTTATGTGCTTCACTTCATTATTGTACCTATGGGCAATGAATAACATGAATATAAATGTGTTTTTAATCAGGAACAATCAATAAATTACTTGAGGGCATGCCCCACCACTACACAAATAAATTCTTAAGACAAAATGTATATCCATGCCAATACACCCTTGACACCTAATTAACAAAACACATTTATTAGGGTTTGGCTCAAGATGCAGACTCAATTCAGATTTTAGAAAAGGCCTCCCAGCAAGATCTGATTATGGGATCCTGTAATGCTGATTGCATTCAACTTCATATTGACAAAACAGACCGGCAGCTTTATTTAAAATTAATATTCCTTAGACGTTAAGCTTGTTTCCATTTGCAATCAATTCAAGGGAAATATTCTATTTGACTTCAGCTGGTAGTCAAATCAATTTTAAACATTTTCTAGTTAAAATGCAAATGGACCACTAAATCACCTTATGCTAACTAGCATAAAGTCATTCGTGTCCTAACTCATACATTAATTAGTGCACTGCACCACAGCCTCCGTTGAACAGATTACTAACAAAAGAAGATGCCTGAAGACCAAAGGAAATGAACCTGAATGGCTTTGTGGGAGATGAAGAAGGATGTGCAGACTGAAATGCAGCACAGTTGCAATGCAAGAGCATTTGTGTCTGTGCAGCAGCAGATCCTGACTAACACACACATACTCACAAGGCATGATTTACAAGCAAAAACGCTTCACTGTATATTTAACTATCCTTGTGCTGGATTAGGGAACCCTGACCTTCAATAAAAGTTTCATGAGTTCTATCAACAAGGCAAAAGTACCGTATTTTTCGCACCATAGGACGCACCGGACAATAGGACGCACCTTGTTTTAGAGGGGGGAGAACAAGGGGAAAAAATTCTTCCGCTCTCTGCCCAGCGCCCCTTCAGTGAAGCGGCAGGAGGCGCTGCGCAGAGAGTGGGAGAATTTCCCCCTCTTGTTTTCCTGCTCTAAAACAAGGTGCCGTTTAAGGTGCATTCAGGCGGCTACCTTGGAAGCCTGGAGAGCGAGAAGGGTCGGTGCGCACAGACCCCTCTCGCTCTCCAGGCTTCAGGTTCCTTTCGACCTGCTCTTTGGGGCTGGCAGGGGGAAGCCCACCACCAGCCCCAAAGAGCAGGTCAGGGAGCAGCGGAAAGGCGCAGCAGAGAGGCTGCTGCCATAGGCGTGAGTCACCTCTCCAGCCGGGAGAGGGTCGCGGGGGGCTGCTTTAGCCCCGCGCGTGCTCTCCCGGCTGGAGAGGTGACGCTCAGCTATGGAGGCTCCTGCCATAGGCGCGCGTCACCTGGGAGAGGGTTGCGGGGGGCTTCTTTAGCCCCCCTAAAGCAGCCCCCCACGACCCTCTCCCGGCTGGAGAGGTGACGCGCGCCTATGGAAGCTCCTGCCATAGGCGCGCGTCACCTCTCCAGCCGGGAGAGGGTCGCGGGGGGGCTGCTTTAGCCCTGCGCGCGCTCTCCCGGCTGGAGAGGTGACACGCGGCTATAGAGGCTCCTGCCATAGCCCCGCGTTACCTCTCCAGCCGGGAGAGGGTCGCAGGGCTATGGCGTCTTCGCTCCATAGGATGCACACACATTTCCCCTTCATTTTTGAAGGGGAAAAAGTGCGTCCTATAGAGCGAAAAATACGGTACTTCTCAAACTATCCAGATTTTCATAAATGACAGAATATATTATTTTTCGCAAAATGTAACTGCAGCAGGCAATGAGAATGTCGTCTATTGGTCACATCTATTCACACAAGAGCTAAAACAATAATGGAAAGGATAAATGCTTTTGCAGGAGGCGGGAATTAATTCTCACTTACTTAATGCTAATGCTGATGGCATATTCTCCCGATTCCGTAGTCCTATACCGCACTAAGTATGTGCTGTTTACCCGGTTAATAAGTTCAGTCTCTGCTTGCGGCCTTTCCATCATTCCAGCATACCTGCAACAAAGTGTGTGAAGTTACTAACTACACTTTCCTTAAAAATGGACACTAAGCAGATGAGCCAAAGGCACTTTGCAGGGGCATGTCCGTGAGCTGAGCAGCTCATAGCTCCACCCACCCCATCGCAAGCGAGGCTGGGGTTTTCGGCTGGTTTGGCAAGCAGCTTGTGAGGTGGTGTTGTGGGGGAAATTAAGATTTGCTGAAGTTTTGTGGCATGTGCCCAGGCCCTTCCACATAGGTCACGAGAATAAATGATTGCACCAGCAAGAATCATGAGCTTGGCTAGAGGTGGACTATGCACGTCCTGATATTCTCCAGCAACTGATACCCACCTCTATTAAGTTGGTTGCTACATACTCAGTGGCGAATCCAATTATGGGAATTTCATTCACTCGACTGTGTTACATTGTTATTATTGTTATTATTGTTATTAGCCTCTAATGGCATAAGTTTAGACAATAAAATCATACAGAGTCATCCAAATACATTAATAATCCAAACACATACAATATATAAAAGACTAGATAGACTGTGTTGCATCGTACCAATTGCGGACTTAGGATTCCAGCCAATGGGCTGCAAGCACAGAACCATTTCACATGTGTGGGGTCTACAAAGGTGTTTTGTACATGAAAGGCATGTCTGCTTACTGGAGTGAATGCAATGGCACTTTGCTTCTATGATTAGAACAGGAATTCCAGTATAGGTACAATCAGGGCTTTTTTTCAACCAGAACTCAGTTCCGGCACCTCTCGGGTAGACACCATTGCCATTCTAAGAGAATGAGGGAGGTGTTCATAGTCAGTTCCAGCACCTCTTTCCCTAGAAAAATAGTGCTGGGTACAATATACAGATTCCTTCATTGCAGTTTAACCAGTATCTTAGTCATTCCAAAATGTGCCAAGACATAATAGTGTAATTTATTAATGGCTTCTGTGAGGTTCTGGATGAGTCTCCTTCACCTATCAGTGGCTTCTGAGGACCAGTACTTCTGCTGAGTTACTGTATTTCATCAGAGATGCATAAGAATCGCTTGTCCCTTGGAAGAGTTTTGTGTGTGAGAGAGACAGTTGTCAAAAGTTGGGGAAACATCCCATGATATGCTTGCATATACCACATGATCCTGATTTATCATCAACATCATTGTGGATGGCCATTCAAACATAGGAAGCTGTTTTATATTGGGAAACTAGTTAGGCTAAGCAAGAATTGAACATGCACAGCTGATGGAAAGAGGAATTGATGAAAAACTATTAGAAATTAAGAAAAAGTATCTTATTGTGACCAGCAAAGGAGGGAGGGGAAAGAAGCATATTGAAGGGTGTGTGTGTGGAAAAGTCCATTTCAAATTTTGTGTTAAATTTGAATTGATTTGTTGTTGATTTGTTAAAAATTTGGAAAATGAATACCAATTAGTTGGCAAGAAAGGAATGCTGGTAAGAATATTGGTCCCTCTATTATCTATGCTGATGGCAGAGGCTTTCTAGGGTTTCAGACAGGGAACCTCTTCCAGCTCAAGCCAGAGATGCCAGGACTGAACTGGGGAGCTTCTGCTTGAAAAGCAGATGCTCTGTCACTTAGCTACGGTCCTTCCACCAAACAGGAGGTTCCAGGAAGCCAGGCAGCTCAAAGACAAACAGAAACTGGAATTTGCAAGCAAAATGCTTACTTCCCATGTGCACTTGGGCTGAATAGATACATCACTATCTATTCCTCCAATGTCTATGAGACCTCTCTCATCCACAAACTGAGATCAGGGGAACCTGTAAGGAGGGGTGTGGCTGGGGTTCATGAACTTGCATAGAGGAGTTTTATCTTGTATTTTATTCTCTTGATGAAGGGCAGTAAAACAACAACAACAACAACAACAGAAAGAGTATGCTGGTGATCAGGGACTGTCTCATCTAAGATTTGGCATGAGATTCTTAGATTTCACTCTAAGGGATAGTTAGTGTGTGTGTGTGAGAGAGAGAGAGAGAGAGAGAGAGAGAATGAGAGAGAGAGAGAGAGAGAGAGAGAGAGAGAGAGAGAGAGAGAGAAATTGGTATAAACAGACTGTCAAAATCATAAAGTATGGTAAACCTATGAAAAATGCCGTCAGGCAGTGCATACATTCAATTATTTTTGCCTACATTGCAACAAAATGCCTTCTGCAGAAGATCAGAAAGGTTAAACTACAACAAATTAGATTGCTATTAATAACAGGTTTTTTGCTCAGGCTATTTATTTAAACTCCCAGGCACCACCAAAACCGAAAACAAACATAGTTTAGAAGCACTCACCATGGCTGGGAAGAATAGTCTACTGGTTTAGGAACCTAATATTGAAAAAAATTAAAAGAGGAAAAATAAATTACATGCATAATATTGTGATGTACTGTATCGAATAAATAGCGTTGTGCTATGGCTTTAAGACAAGGATCATAAAATTGAGGAAATCCTATAATTCTACCCATTATTTAAAATTAATGACTAAAACAATGTGTTATTACAGCACTGGTTCACATAAATAGATCTGCACAGCTACTTAATTATGATAGGTGACAACTTTAGAAACCTGACTATGCCCACCCACCCCCACCCCACCCCCCGCTATATATATAATGGGTGTCTGCATTAATTACATTTGGTAATAAATTTTCCTACTTCAGCCAATAAAATGGTCATCAATGTGGGGCTACCTTTGAAATTGACTCGGAAGCTACAACTAATACAGAATACAGCAGCTAGACTGGGACTGGGAGTGGCCACTGGGACCATATAACACCGGTCCTAAAGGATCTTCACTGGATCCCAGTACATTTCCAAGCACAATTCAAAGTGTTGGTGTTGATCAGCCTCAGCTTTGTATATCTCAAGGAGCGTCTCCACCCCCATCGTCCTATCTGGACACTGAAGTCCAGCTCTGAGAGCCTTTGGGCGGTTCTCTCACTACGAGAAATGAAGTTACAAGGAACCAGACAGACAGCCTTTTCGGTAGTGGCACCTGCCCTGTGGAACGCCCTCCCAGTGTACATCAAGGAGATAAACAGCTACACGACAGTCAGAAGACATCTGAATGAAGGCAGCCCTGTATAGGGAAGTCTTAAAATGTTTGAGGTTTTATATTTTGTTGGAAGCTGCCCAGAGTGGCTGGGGCAACCCAGTCAGATAGCTAGGATACACATAAAAATAAAATCATCATCATCTACTGAAACATGAACAAATACTGAGTTGTTTTAAGTATCCAGCCAAACTATATGGTGTGGACTCCAACTCCCATCAGCCTAAGCCAGCATGGCAAATGGTCTTAGATGATGGGAGTTGTAGTCCAGCAATACTGGCACAGCACCATGGTGCCGATGCCTGTACTAAATTCTATATATATCAACAGCATTTATTTAAAAGGGGAAAAGGGAAGAGTGGGTGGAGGAGCCAAGTTATTTTGAGAGTGATATTTTTGCCTGGGAAACGAGTGGCTTCTGTAGATATTCTGTAGATGTGGCTTTCTGTAGATGTTGCCAGGACGAAGAAGAAGTCCCACCTTACCCCTGGCTCTTTCCCCTTGTACTCATACACATTGATGGAGATGTGAGTGTGGCGCTACGGTGTGTTTAAGCCTGGGCCCCAGACTACTGCTTTGGCAAGATTTTAATGGTTGGTTTACTGATTCTACTATTCCATCTGTTTTTGGTTGTTCTGCTATATATGGCACAAAATTGCCAGTTTTAATTTAGAGGAATGTTTTATTGCATTTGTTAGTGGATCTACGTATTTATAACTGTTTTGCAACTGCACACATTCAGGATATAAATAAAGGATATTTATCACCATCGTCTGTCTATTTCACATGCACAGTGAATAACATCATCACCACCACTGCCTCCTCTCTGTACAGGGTATGCCATGGCATATCTGCTAAACTGTAATATACAAAACAATCCCGAACCCTGGAATGATATCATCATCACAGGACTGTCGAGATAATAAATGGTGCAGATTACATATGGTAACTAACCGCAACAAAAATGGAAAGAAATAAAGTGAATTATAAGCTGTTATTTATCCAATACAGAAGACTTCTTGCTGCCACATATTCCATACTGCAGATAGAAAAAATGCTTTATCAGTGTATCTGAGAGCACACCATAGTATAGATATTCCAGACCTCAACCATTTTTCATTCAATATTTATTCTTCATGCCTTTTGATGTATGTATTTTATACTGTTTCTGGGCACTTTTATATGGGCTGGTTGTAAAGGCTGTTATTTAATAATAATAGTAAAAGCGATGGTGCACTGAAAATTTGATAGATGTTTCATCATCTCCGTTATCATTTGTCATAAGGGAATGTTTATACTTTGCCCTTCCAGGTGAACAGTGGTGAAGCATCAATTTATCTTTCTAGCAAGAGTCTGCCTGTAATACGCTGAAAATTGATGTTTATTCATATTGCAAATTTATGCAAGCTTCTTGACTGAACTTCTCCCTGATAAGAATGCATTGCACTGAAAACTGTACCTTAGGCGGTAATTTTCATTTTGCTTTGGGGCTTTGCTGAGTTTTGCTTTTAGGTGTTTCTCCTTTTTTTGTTTCTGTTTCTTTTTGTTCCCTTTTCCCTTTTTCCCCCCTCTACTTGCACATGGATTCAAAAGAGAGAAGGGGCGGGGAGCACATGTGCAATTGCCGCACACATGACAACTTTCAAATAGCTTTTGTGGACCTCTCTATGGAACGTTATATCGCGTAGGTAAATTGTAGCTGTGAAACATTATGTACTTGCTTCAGAAGAAGCTCAAGAACAGGAATGAAAAGAAGCACGGTCTACAAATGGATTGTTCACAATTTAAAACTAGAGTTCAGAAGGAGGTTTTGAACCCTTTAGGAACAAATGACACATTACATTAAACGCTCGAATATTAAACGATATTAAATATTAAACATTAAACATTAAACGGGGTGATATGATAGCCATGTACAAATATATAAAAGGATGTCACATAGAGGAGGGAGAAAGGCTGTTTTCTGCTGCTCCAGAGAAGCGGACACGGAGCAATGGATCCAAACTACAAGAAAGAAGATTCCACCTAAACATTAGGAAGAACTTCCTGACAGTAAGAGCTGTTCGACAGTGGAATTTGCTGCCAAGGAGTGTGGTGGAGTCTCCTTCTTTGGAGGTCTTTAAGCAGAGGCTTGACAACCATATGTCAGGAGTGCTCTGATGGTGTTTCCTGCTTGGCAGGGGGTTGGACTCGATGGCCCTTGTGGTCTCTTCCAACTCTATGATTCTATGATTCTATGAATATCTTCAATGTATCTGGTAGGGTTGCCATATTTCAAAAAGTAAAAACCAGGACACCCTGGTTGTTGATTTCTTCTTAAATGTCTTAAAATGTTGATTTTAAGAAGCCACTGGAACTGTTCAGCTTTTTTTTTAGAAAGCCCCCCAAATTGTTGAGCACCTACTGCCACTTGTAGCCTCGGAAGCACCGACACTGCCCTTCTGCTCACGTGCAAGGAGGCTTACCTGGCAGTGGCTAGGGTATAATTCTCTGCCAACAAGGATATTCAAAAGCAAGAGGAGGAAATTGCAGCATCTCCCTTCCCTTTGCTCACTTACAAGCTTACAATCAGCAGGCCAGGAGCCGAGCATCTGCTTAGTTGTCAGACCACTTCTTCACAGCTTCTGGGTAAGTGAGTAAGGAGAGGGAGCAAGGAGCAAATATGCATCACCAGAGGGCGCTGTAGAGCAGTGATGACCATCAATGGGAATTGCATTGAGACCTATATTACGTGGGGAGAGGGGGTTGCATTTTTCCAGACCAGTGTAGATACAGCCCAAGTGGCAGTGGGTACTGGGTAGAGCAGGCAACATCCCAATCCTGTGGGCCTTGTTTGGGGCACATGAGCCCCACCAAAAAGCCCCTACATGCTGGGTACACATGGCAGGCCTGATTTCACATAAATGCAAAACTGCATATGTTATTGTAGAAGCAAAGAACCTCACCCAGAATTTGCCATACTTACGATTTCTATGTTGTGATTTGTATTCTGGTGCTTCAGTTGTGGTCAAAAAGTGGCTCCTATAAATCTAACCTCACTGGATCCTTCTTTAAAAATCAGATATGGAATTGCCCACTATTATAGGTTTCCAGTACAGTAAAACTGGAAAGACTTGGGTAATGGAAATTGCTCACTCTTAGCAGCTAACAGTCCTTTAGGAGGCTGAAAAGTCATTTCTACCTTAACATGTTATTTAGGTTTCCCCACCTTCAAGGAAACTTCCTTTAAAAACTCCCTTTGTGGCATGGATCTCTACTTGAGCCATGAGGAACAATTTGCCTTTGAGTCACATTTCTTCAGTGAACTTACTGTGTGACTAAAGTATCCTGAATTCAACATTCCAAGGGCAACTGGAGAATGGTGGGCGGTGTGGGGATTTTGTCCAAAGTTACAGTGTATAGCTGGAGTCACCACCGTTTTTGTCCAGTCCTAATCCAACTGTCTGATTCTACAAACCTGGTATAAAATGAGCTGACTCATGCAGAGCTTTGCTGGCAGATAAAATTATAACAGCACAAGCTGCAAGTCATGGGCAATTTAAAACATTCAGAGATGATGCATGCCTTTGATAGGAAAGAAGGAGAAGGGATCTAGGAAAGTCAAACCAAGCAGACATATGACAAAAGGGACCAAGAGCTCTGGTTTGATAGCTTTTCTCGTTTTCAGATGCATTTCTGAGTCCATTATTATGGTCTAATCTTTCTCTATAACCCAAGGTGACTGGGGAATGTATTAGAAATGGAGCATTCTTGCCCCACTTTTAAGACGGCAGCTTTATTGCACAAAACATTTATTGCAGGTTTTGACTGTATTTTATTTGAAAACTAGTTAGACAATTTAACTTATTAAATTCTGACGAGTTAAGCCTGTCTCTTGTGCAGGGTTCCTTCTGACTTCCAATTTTAAGTCCAATAACAAAGAACATAACCATATTACATTTTTAAATAAAATTAAGTGTAGCATGTAAACAAAAAGAATCACAAAAATAATGTAAATCCCACTAGGCAGGATTAATAAAAACCTTGGAACGAACCAGGCAAGCTCACTGCAAACATTTTTGTGAAAACAATTATACTGACAAACACAATTACATGGGTCTACTTACACAAGGGCAAGGCTTTACTGCATCACTTGGAAAGAAACCAAGTTCCCGGGTCACTACATTTCTACCCTAAAAGAAACAGAAAGATCCAATTAGGGGAAAACAACACATGCAACTCACCATTGTGCATACAACCCTTTGAACATCCATAAGAACTCCAAATTTCCATGTAACAGTTATCAACATGTGCATAGTAATCTGTCCATATGCCATAGCTATTGGACTGGCCTAAGTTACAAGAAGATACAGTGGTACCTTGGTTTACAACCATAATCCGTTCTGGAGGTCTGGTTGTAAACCAAAACAGGTTGTAACCCAAGGTGCGCTTTTGCCAATGGGGCCTCCCCCCAAAAAAAATAAAAAAATGGTTGTAATCCAAAAAAAAGTGGGCTGTAATCCAAAACTGTTATAATCCAAAGCGGTTACAAACCAAGGTACCACTGTAACTTGGAGGCAATGACTTTCAGTGGTGGGATGAATTCCACCATTTGGTGAACACCAGATATTTTGCATCCCTTCCCCATTTCAAATTAGTCCCTAGAATACAGATGGTTGAATAAATCTACATCTGATCCACGTCACACACGTAAATTCATAAATCCATTTTGTCCTTTTTCTGCATCCATATACATTTTTACATTCAAAGTGCAAAAGCCAGTGAATAACTACCTTCCCAGCCCCACACTTTAGTCCAGGAGCTACAGATCAGGGCAGATCAGATCGGAATTCTTGAATTCCGCAAGCATCCCTACCCAGGATCCTCCTAGCTGATCCAAAATGGTTCAGATAGTGTCACTATCACTATACAAGTAGTTTTATACCATCGTATAATGAGATATCAGGGTGATGTACAATGTTAAAAGAGATGATTGGATGTTCACCTGTCATGGATGCTTTAGGGTTGGACAAGATGACCCTTGGGGTCCTTTCCAACTTGACAGTTCCATTATTCTATAAAACACTGTTTAAAAATACGTGTGCATTTCTGTGTACAGTTTGCCCTGATTTTGTACACATTATTTGACTGGAGAACTGCACTGCAAAATTCAGAGATGTGCGAATTTAGAATGGTTATTTTCAGTTCACATGTTGCTTTGGAAAGTGTGGATTATGTATGTGAACTGAATCAAATTTCTACCCCAATCCCCCGCAGCAGCACCTCAAAACCTGGTTGCTGTGTCAGGGCATATTTAATGCCACACTGTCCTGGGTTTTTTGGGGGGTTTTTTAAAATACATTCATTGGATGTCCAATTTGGTCACTTCAGATCATTCCCGGAACAGACTGGACGGGGACACAATTTATTTAATTTTTTACTACCACCATGAACCGCACATAACAGTTCCCTCAAGACAAGCAATTAACAGATCATGTAGCTATTCAGGGTGCTAGTTGTTGCCCTAAACTTTGTGCATGTAGTATTGCCACAGTACAGTGGTACCTCTGGTTACAAACTTAATTCGTTCCGGAGGTCCATTCTTAACCTGAGGTACCACTTTAGCTAATGGGGCCTCCCGCTGCTGCCATGCCACCGGCGCACGATTTCTGTTCTCATCCTGAGGTAAAGTTCTTAACCCGAGGTACTACTTCCGGGTTAGTGGACTCTGAAACCCAAAGTGTTTGTAACCTGAGGTGTTTGTAACCCAAGGTACCACTGTACATAAAGAGTTGTACGCCTTTCAAGGATCTCTGGAAGCCAGTCAGCAGCAGTGTGGAGAAATAGCAATAATGTTGATGTTGATGTTGTTTTAAAAAACCTTTGAATTTAGGTTGGTACAAAGAAGTAATCATATACCTGTTTTACATCCCCAAACTTACATCTACATATTACATATGCTTTGCTCAAAAATTTCCAGTTTCAAGTATCAGAATCAATGTTTGTAGCTATTGGGTACTCACGAGAGATCACAGGGGACTGTAAAGGTAGTGGTAAAGTTAGGAATTACTACAGTAGGGGTGTGTAGCTCCTTAGGAAAGTATCCTGGCTCTGTGGAGAAGGATTTACTGTGCACAAAAGCAACTATTGGCTGCTTCACTCCCTGGTCGCCCCCACAACCATGTACCTCCTCAGGCAGGCCCAGTGAAAGAACCTCTGAACAAGAACCTACAAACAATTACACTGGGCTTAAAAAGTAATTGAACTAACACCATTGATGAAAATTAGGCCTTTGCCAGTGTCTTGAGTCCACAGAACTCTCCAGTTTTCAAATTTTAATAGTAGAACTCTTGTGCCATTAACAGCTAGACCCTTGAGAATAACTGCACTGGCAATGCAGAGCACTGGTCAGCAATTAGCTTTCTTGGTTTTATTTTAGTGAGGAGCTGCAGGCTAAGGCCTCTTCATCATTCCACAAACTGGGACGGCTGACTAATTCCAGCATCATAGATGCACCTCTATATGAGGAGGAGGCAGCTCTCAATGGTTCAGTATTAACGTGCAGATCAAATGAGTTATGCATGAAATCCCTGTGTACAGAGAAGTAGTACATCCATTTTAAAAAGAACTCTGTCCTAATCCTCTCCCTGGTGTGCTAGTTTTCTTCACACAATAAAAGTATTATATACTGCATTCAAATAAGCAATACACCGATTGCATTTTTAAGTAGCGTGATTCCAGATGGGATCTACCACATTATTATTCTGAACATGCAGATTGGCTTTAATAGATCTGGATTCCTTTTATTATGAAAAGGCTCCCTAAAATGAGGCATGATGGTTGCCATGTGCCAGTCCTGGGGATTTCCATTCTTAACAAGCAGTAACATCACTTCAAATGCAAGACGAATGAAGCACAAAACGGACGAATTAAGGAGGAGTTTCAGACACTTGTCTGGAGCACTGAATAAAGTTGCAATATTGGGCCTTTGAACTACAACCTATCTTTCATCATAGATTTTTTTGTTTGTTTGGGGTTTGTTTTTTAATTTGTCTCAAGCCAAGAGGTGCATTCCTAACCCTGGGGATAAGCTCTCAGAGATAACAAAATACGTAACGTAAGCTGTGATGCAATGCTGCCTTTGCAGGTTCTCTTTGCAATTGCACAATATCCACTGGTTTCTTTTACCATAAAAACAAAAGACAAGCGTTTGGGGGGGGGTTTGGATGAAGGCTATGTTCAACAACTTTACCAGAAAGCCAGTGCCACTGAACTCAAGTGGAATTTAACTTGGAACTAAACATGTTTAAGATTGGCAATTAGCAAGTGACACAGACTCTGGTGCTAATTGATCCACAGCTTTTAGTGAAGCTCAAGTAAAAGTACTGCCTTCCTCTTTGTTTTGATTCTTTGTGGTGCTTCCCATCCCCACCTCCCGCATTCTTGCACACGACATAGTCTGGAAGGGGGCAGGTCAGCATGTGATCTAGTGTTCCAGACAACCTTTGGAGAAGACAAAAAAGCCTAGAAATTGTATGCAAGTAAGGATCACTGATCAAATACTGTGCTCTTTCAAAAGCTCGCAAAAGAAATGTGTCTCAAAAATCCCAAAGCATTTCAATAGCAGTCACTTCTGCCCCTTCTCAAATGACAGGAGTTGTCAACAGCTCCCTGCAGGAACAAACAATCCCTGCAGAAACAAGTGATGCCAGTGAGCTGAATCTGGCAGGGAGCGCACCCAGAAATCAGTAAAAAGCAAGCTTTGTTTGCTTGTTTACATTGGTTGCTGTGTTTTCTGGAAATGACAGCACATCAGACTGGAAGTAGTACAGGTGACCTGGGTGAGAGAGATGCAGAAAGATACATGCCCAGGATATTGCTGGCTGCCAGGGGATTCAGACGGAGAGGAGAATATGAGCTGAGCTGAGCTGAGCTGGGAGGAAGCGTAAAAAGCAAGAACAAGAAAAGACCTTCCTGCAGTGATGAGTGGAACAGAGGTTATGAGAGAATTGAGAGTGGTGTACACCCTGCTGAACAGGCTTATTTTGGCCCCTATAGTCAAAGAGGGAAGTTACTATGCTAGGGAGCTGTAACTGTAATAAGAATTAAAGGTAAAGGGTAAAGGGAACCCTGACCATTAGGTCCAGTCGTGGCCGACTCTAGGGTTGCGGCACTCATCTCGCTTTATTGGCCGAGGGAGCCGGCATACAGTTTCCGGGTCATGTGGCCAGCATGACTAAGCCACTTCTGGCGAACAAGAGCAGCGCACGGAAACGCCGTTTACCTTCCCGCCGGAGCGGTACCTATTTATCTACTTGCACTAGTGTGCTTTCAAACTGCTAAGTTGACAGGAGCAGAGACCGAGCAACGGGAGCTCACCCCGTCACGGGGATTCGAACCGCCAACCTTCTGATCGGCAAGCCCTAGGCTCTGTGGTTTAACCCACAGCGCCACCCGCGTCCCCAAATGCATTAAAAGCAGCAGAGCCTCAAAGCTTCACATGACCTCTTCATAGGATTAGCTTCCCTAGGTACCTCTGTAGGAGACCAGTTGTTTGTTGTTTTCCCCAACTTGATTTGGCTTGGAATCTGGGCCTGTTGGTTAAGTGGAAACTTCCCCAGCAATTACACAACAAGTAGGAACCATGGCTTCTCATACAGACGCAAACCGTATTAGCCCTGAGGAGATGCAGCGGGCCTGGTTGTGGGCACGTCAGGGACATCTTCAGTAGCTTCAGCTCATGAAGCAGAACTGCCAAGCACTTTACCTGCCAAAACAAGCTGTGTGCATCCCCTTTGATGAGTTCAATTATGTCCCCGATCTGGATATGTAAAGGAGGGCCGTCATGTGGAGCTGGCTGTGGTGTCCCGCTATAGTTTCGAATTACTTGCATTTTTGGTAGGCCTGAAAAGAAAAGCACAGGTTAGCTATATGTGGTGAATTATCCAAAATCAATGGCCCTACCCAGGAACTCAGATCTAAAGTAGGACCCCTCCAATAGGGCCTGTTCACAGTCTGCAGAATGAGCCCCCCCACCCACCCTCTTTCCCAAAGGACAGCATCACATTGATAGGCTCTTTAGGGTTGTTGTTTTCAATCCCCCAAAGAATTTTGTTTTGAGTTTTATGCTGGCTGTTGTGTCATATCCTGCTGTCATGTTGTATATTGTTTATGATTATGATTATGATTATTATTATACCTATGTTTTATGGTTTCAGCTGATATCATCTACTTTAAGGATTGTTTGGTTGAAAAACAGAATGCCAGTGGGAAAATACAAATCAAAATCAGATTAAAATACAAAATACAAAATCACAGTGCAATCCAAGGAATTGCTTATTCACAAGTAAGCCCTAGGGAACTAAAGGAGACTTTTACTTATAGGTACATGTGTGTAGGATTGTGGCCATGAGGGGGGAAGACAAAATCTGAATACCTCAAATAACCTGACTATATCCAACAGATGGATTAGGGCGGAGAAAAAGTCAAATTGTATGTTGACATATGGACTAAGATATGAAAAGAGGAGACCTTTTTCATGATCAAGCCTCCTCCCCTGTATTATTATTTTTAACGTGGTTGTGCGAGAAAAATGTTTTTCTCTAGGCTGCTGCTTAGTTCATGAAAGCACAGCACGTACAGTTTAATGGGAAATAATCAATTTTTTCATCAGCTCACTCCTGTCCTCCTATTAATTCTCTCTTGAGGCACTAGTCAATTTCATCGCCACAGAGGCTCATCCTTTCCTGAGTGTACATACAATTCTGGCCCTGTAAAAGATTTATATCTTAAGGTTATCTTTCTAATTTTAGAGCCATAGAAAGGTGATAGATGTGATGAGGTAATGCTTTAGACGCTGATATGGAGAAATTCCGTGCGTTCACATCAGTCTTCTTTGAGTGCACCACTGAAAGGGAAACGTGTCCAAGACAACAGGAAATCACAAGTCACTCCATGTTTCTGATATAATCATTTGAAAAGGAAATCTAATTTTTTCTTAAGTGTTATTGGATTTACAGAGTAATTCAATCGTTCAATTGCACTCTACAAGCAAAGGAACTCCAAATGCAGCACCATATGTTGCTTGTAGTGGCCTCTCTGCCGAATTGTCTTGTTAAAAGGGCATTTTCCAACGGAACAAAGGTGTTCACCAGCTCAAGAGTTTTGTTTTTAGTAAAGAAAAAGAAAAAGAAAAGATTTTAAAAAGTTAACGTGGTTCCTCTAATTCCAGGTTATGACAGGCATTTACTAAGAGCTTATCCTGTTGATCATGCCCAAACTATATTTTAGCCTCCATAGGACGCTTGCTAAGCCTCCAATGCAAATGCAATATTGTGATGGGTCTTATGCAGCTTATGGAGAAAGACCGTGCTGCAGGAGATTTGACATAAGGGGGAGTGAAACCTTCCCTATTACTGCTGCAGATATTTCACCATCACCCAGAAATGATTTCACAGATCAGGATATTTATGTACAAACATAGAAGTGGCAGGTAGAATTTTCAACATTACTAGTTCACACGAGCTCCTAACATTGCTGTGTCCCCTACTTAAAAGCACAGAGACCTGCCTTAAAATTGTGGACTCTTTCCTGCATTTGAGTGATCCAGCTTCTATAGTGTTTTTGAAAATGATACATGAGGCCTTATTAGAGAACTCTAATCATTTAGCTGTTTTGACCCCCAAGGAAGCTTGAAACAGGGGGGGAAAAACCCTGGGTATTTTGCATCTTTGATTAAAACATGCAAGTAACTTGCTTGTATGGAGGGGCACTCAGTTACATGAGCCCTCACCTGCAGCCGAAAATGCAAGCTACCACAGCAGCTGTTCCAGCGCACCCGGCCAGAATTGCAAGGCTAAGCAAAGTCACATTAAAGCTATTGACTTAACAAGGGAAGGTCACATCAGGTGACATTTTACATCAGGTGTTTACTGTGAGCATGCAAGGCGTGCACAGACTCATCTGGAAGAGCCACTGGCAACTGTAATCTAATCTGGCAACTGTAACACTTATGTGCATAAGGCTTATGCTGCTCCACAAAGCCACCTTTTTAAAATCCCAATTTTGTGCAAAATCATTTGTGCAAATCCATGCAAAATTCACAGGTTATGTGTTCATGAACATAGTCTGTCTAAATTGCACTCATATGGTATAACGCCATCCAAGCTGGTGGTCCTTACTGCAATGTCTCAGAGAAAATTTCACAGTTAAACTATGTGTGAAGAAGTAGTTTCTTTTGTCTTTCTTGAATTTCCCAACATTCAGCTTTGTTAGATGGCCCCAGGTTCTAGTATTATGTGGGATATTAGCTTACTGAATGCGGCACAAGGATGTCTCAAATAAAAGCAGCAACAGAAACACTAAGCTCCATGTACCAGTTTCTGTTTGACTTCAATTTACGAACATCATTTTACAAATTTATTTTACCAATTCTGCTCATAGTTAAAAGGTAAACCAGAACATGTTTATCCTCCAAGCCCAATAACTATTCAACACTCCCTCCTCCAAACGTGTTAAGGCTCCTCAGGTAAATGGAAACTTTCTGACTCACGCACAGCATGCTCACCTGAGAGTGCAGCCTACCCAGACATCTGGAGATTGCCTGTATTGATTAAGGATACAGAACCAGCGTTTCTAGAGGTAACATGCATTATTCACTACTTTCAAAGTTTCAAAAGGAGGAAGGCGCATAAGCCTTATCATGTTAAGAAGCAGAAAAACCATGCTACTATGGTATGGGGGGGTGGAATAGAGAATTGTTCTCCACCAGTTTGGGCAATGTACTTGAGAGTATACTAGCAAGTCAGTTTCAGGAGTGCTTGAGAGAAGCTGATTGTTTAGGCCCATTTCAATCTGGCTTCACACTGGTTTTGGCACTGAAATGGCTTTGGTCACCTTGGCTGATGGCCTTTAATTGGAAGGAAGAAAGTGGAAATGCCAATTCTCCTCGATGTCTCAGCAGTTTATCATTACGCATGGTATCTGGTGGGTTTCTCTCGACTCTATTTCAGAAGCACACTGTTATAGTGGTTCCACTCCTACCTACTGGGATGGTTACAGATAGCAGCAATGGAGGACATCTGCTCAGCTGCTTGGCAACTGTGCTGTGGGATCCACGGGGCTTTATGTTGTCCCCCGCACTATTTAACTTCTATGGATTACTGCAATGCACTCTGCATGGGGCTGCACTTGATGACAACTTAGAACCTTGAACTAGTCCAAAATCCAACAGCCAGATTACTGGCTGGGGTTACATTCAGAACTCATATAACCCCTGGGTTAGAACAGCTATGTTGACTGCCAGTTTGTTTCTGGGCCCAATTCATGGTGTTCATGTTAAGTGTTTAAAGCCTTAAACGACTTAGACCAATATCTGAAAGATTTCCCCCTTCCCTACAGACCCTCTCAGGTGTTAAGATCAGTAGAGGTGGCCCTCTTGGTAGTCCCACTGCTCTCAGAAGCTGATGTGGGGTGGCCTGGGAAAGGGCATTCTTTGTAAAAATCCCAATGTTGTGGCAAAAAATAAATAAATCAGAGTTTTGTTCATTCACTCAGATAACCCCCCTCTTCTCCCTAATATGCTGTCATAGTTCTCCTTCATGAATGTCTAAAGGGTTCTCTCCTTTTCCCAGTCTTTTGCAGGCTTCACGTGGGAAGTAAGTAAAGCATTGTGTTCTCTTTACAACCTCTCTGAATTGGAGACTATAAGCCACCATCATTCAAGTTGCTACTGTAGCGGCTGAACATGCAATTTTTTTAAAAAAAAAGCAAGAGAGAACATTTATTCATTATATCCAACAATGTATCGTTAATATTTAAAAACTTTATAATGGAGTAGTAATAGCATGACAGCACACTTTTTAAAAATAATGATACCTCCCACAATACAAGCCTTTACTAGGAAGCTTTGCTTTTCACTCTCACTACTAAGGAAAGCAACTTCTGCACCATTTATTATCAAGGGCAGGCTCATGTGAGAATGCATTGCAGTAGTCTAGCTGAAGAGTTCACAATTGTGAACATTACCGTTTCTAAGTATAGCTATGAATACTTTTATCTTACGTAGTTCTGTCTGGAGTGCTACCTCCACATGGCCTTTGTTTACATCATAAAATGTCACAACGACCTGTTCCTATCAGACTCAATTCTAGCAGAATTCAACAGCAGTGTCAGTCATGCAAGTTCATCCTCCAAGCAACTTAGGGGTGGGAACTACTCCAAACTGGCCCACGCATTAAGTTAAACAATAACCTAAGAAATTAAACAGAATCAGGCAAGGGTTCTAGTGCTTCAGATGAAGTCACTATTAAATTCAGTAGCTCAGGTTAAAGATTAATCAGACAAACTGATTATGTGACTACATAATATAGAAGTGTGACTGTGCTAGACATCAAGGTCTTTAATTTTAGTCACAGAAACGAAAATGACTTATAGTGTACTTCTGTTCTTCATGATTCAAAGAGAACATTTTAGGAGTTATTGAGAACAGGAGTAGCTACAGGGTTATGGGGTTCTTCAAGGGCAGTCGGGAAAGGCAGGAGACAGGCCCTCTAATCCTGCTTCTGGACCAAGGTTCCTAGTCTTGAAGGCATCCCTCCAGAGTCAGGAGGGAACTGCAAGTATTCCTCCCTAGGCTACCCTTTCCATTTACTTTATTTCGAATCATGAATCATCTCATAAGAAACATCTCAAGACATCTTCAAGAAAAACGTATGGAAAACATGTATAGAAACAATTTCAAATCCCATACAGGTACAGTCTGGGATAAATTATTAATTTTTTTAAAACCACCTTAAAATGCTTGTTGAAGGAGGAAGATGGGAAAGCCACAAAGATTTGATGAGATGGGAGACTGATAACTCAGGATAGGTCCAAACTGTTTCCTAAGCAAGTGAATGGAACTTATCTTAGGAACAGAAGAGAGTGAAATTTGGAAAACCTTAGATGGAGGAAGTGCATCCCACTACAGGTGCTCTTTTCCCTTTATTCCCTTTATTAAGAAAAACACGTATGTCCATTATTTGAGAGTACCACCTCTCTCCATATGAACCTATCCGAACCCTGAGATCAGCCTCTGAGGCCCTTCTTCGTGTGCCTCCTCGGTGAGAGGGGTCCAGAGTGTGGCAACATGAGAATAGGACTTTTCTGCAGTGGCTCCCCGTTTGTGGAATGCTCTCCCCAGGGAGGTTCGCCTGGCACCTTCATAATACACCTTTAGGCGCCAGGTGAAAACGTTCTCTTCAACCAGGCCTTCGGCTGGTGACATCCCATGACATTTTAAATGTATTGTGGGAAGGAGAATTATTGGGTTGTTGTTGTTGCTGTTGTTCTTATTTTTACTATGCACTTTGTGATTTTTATATTGTGATTTTATGTTGTGAACTGCCCTGAGATCTATGGATGAAGGGTGGTATACAAATTTTAAAAAGAAAGAAAGAAAGAAAGATTGCATATATTTACAACAAATAAAAACTCCCACAGCACTGGAGGCATAAATCTCTACCAACTGTTACTATGCATGAACAGAGTCAACGGAAGATGCACACAGCAGGTGGTCAGAGGACAAACATCTCAGCTTCTTAAAAGGGAGGGACTGTTTTGGGTTTCTGCCCTTTCCCCCTTCTTGTGGCTCACAGGGCCACTTTCCCCAAACTACGCCCACCTGTACCACACCTGGCATCCAATGTGCCATCAGGTGTGGAACAGCTAAAGACATAGCTGCAAAGGAACCATCAGCAGAGCTTAAAGTGTGCTCCTGGCTGTTCTTTAGCCACCAAGGCTTCTTGTAAGTGTGAATCAGCTGATTGGCAATGATACCAAGGGAACTTTGCAATGCAGCCGGATCCTGCCCAAAGGGGCATGCTTTAAGTGTCAATCAGCTGATTAGTACTTATAGTAAGCCTTGCAATGAAACCCCGCCTTTGACTGTGCAGTTTGAAATTAAACTCTACGGACAAAGTGACATTTCTCCTTTGCAGATTAGCTTGAATTCAAACCTACTTGTAAAGGAAAACACTTCATCTGACATCCAAGGTGGCCTCAACAGAGATAGATAGGTGAGTGGGCCACACATCTGTCACAGTGGTTTTGGGGGGTATGTCAGGATCTGGCCTGCCAACCTAATCCAGTTGCTCACTCCACTTTAGGGCAGAGCATGGCAGCAGCTCCACACAGTTCCTTCAGCAAGCTACTGAAGCAGGATTTTCCCCCATGAGAGATAAGATCATTTAGCCTTCAGTAGTTTTACAAAGCTTTGTTAAGTCTCCGTGTGAGAAGTGCTTTGAAGCAGAAGTTAAATTATTACTGAATTAAGTAAATGAGTCGCCTTTGGTGGAGTGGAAATACTCCCTTTTGCTTTGTGTTAACATTCTGTTATTATTTAAAGAATAGTAACGACAACAACATTCCTAACATTCAGTGATTGATTCCTTGGTTAGGCTTCTGAGGAAGAGTGTGATAATTAATAACAGTAGTGATTACACTTGAGAATTACTGCAAGAGTCAAGTCTCCATTATTACAGCACATGGATCTCAAGGGGTGTCCAGAGCACAGTCTAGTCCTCTTGTGCTGGATGAGTTTCAGTTGGTAAGGCTTAAGGACATGGACAAGGTGACTGGAACGGTTAGGGCAACCACTTGCGTTCTGGACTCTTGCCCCACTTGACTGATGGAAACCAGCAGGGAGGGAAAGCTGGCTGGACCAGGGAGGTGATTAATGCCTCCTTGTGAGAGAGAGGGTGTTCCCTGCCTGCTTGAAGGAGGCAGTGGTAAAACTACTCCTAAAGAAATCCTCCTTGGACTCAGAAAACCTAAGTTACTACCGGCCAGTTGCTAATCTTCCCCTTCTCTGCTTTTGTAAGACTCGGCACTCAAAATACACAACAGGCCCTGAGCATGAAGTATAATCAGGCAGAATCACCAAGTTCTGTTGAGAAAATAAAACTATATAGAAGCCAGACTTGCAAGAAAATGTCTTAACAGAAATAAGCCAGAGCAGCCCATGTGGTAGTACAAGACACATCTTTTTAAAAAAAGGGAAATTTTGCTGCTGTTCCCCTTCCCTGCCCCATCGTCAACTTGAAGACAACAGCAAAAACCATCAGCCAAGTTGTACAGAGGCAGGATATTTGCCCATCTAGCAGTACACAGGCTTTAAAAAGTTGGTTGGAGGCAAGAGGCATGCTGGTTCTTGTCCTGCAACTGAGAGTTAATGTATTATTTTGGGGAGAGGCAGTATAGTTGGCATAACTGCAACAGTTGAAATAATACTGCCAAGCAATGAACAAGAGCTTTTACAGAAAATAAGCATATCAGATGGGGAAACCTCTGAGTTGGTTTAATTGCCGTTGTTGAGTCATCTAGTTTTGTACCTAGCTGCAATCATCAGAGGCGCAAAAGATAACTTCTAACCTGCAGGGCTCAATGTAATTATGGGAGGTAGTTTAAAACTCTTTGTTTTGGTTTAGGGGTTGTTGTTTTTTTGCAACCATCATGAGACACTTCAGCAGTGGACGTGCTAAGAGACTTAAGCTGCATGAATCATAAGGATAATGGCAGCTGTAAAAACAGATTCTGGAACTACACGTGCTCCACCATGAATAATTACTGGCATGGACCTGTGCAATCAGATTCCCGTTGTGACCAGAAGTAATGAAATATTACTCTCTTGGCATCAAGCAATTTTTAAAAAATGGGTTAGGCTGACGGTTCTCAGACTGTGACACATCATGGGGGAGGGTGAAGCAAAGTGGCTTCTGAAGGGGCAAGATCAATCCCGGTGTGCGCATGAGTTAACAGGAAAAATATGCTCTGTAGTGTGGATGAAATGGAGCCCAGCACCAGGTACAATGCTTTTGATTAAAGCAATCCATTGGGCACAGGGCAAGCAAAATTGTATCGTTGTGGAGAATAGCCACTCCACCTCCCTGTCCAATCTTGACAATGGGTGCTGGGCCAAAACATAGCTTGCTGCACCACCCAGCCAGGTTTCAGTAATAGGTACCAGATATGCTCCTTCTTTCAGGACTTGGGAATCCTTAATTCCTTAAGTCCTTAATTCATTAGCCTCTGTGCCGCACATTTATAACTTTTCAATGTGGAAAAGTATCTCCAAGGGCACAGTGAAGCAACACTTGGCTTCAGGCAACAGCTATATTTCTTTCAAAATGCCCAATATGGCAAGGTTGTTTTTTTTACAAAGGGAGTGGTTAGTCAAGACAATTTAACCATTTGCATTTCAACTCCCATGCAACTGAGCAGTAAGTACAGCAGCTCTTCTTTCCTGCAGATATGAAGCTTCCACCATCACCTCCTTAGTTATGGACTTGGAACTCCTGTTTCAGGTGCAAATCATTCTTACGTTACTACATTTAACGACTCAATAATCTGACTTGCTTTTGAAAAAGAGCTCATAAAAAGAAGCAAAAAAAGAATTGCCCTCCTCACACAGTTACTGTATATATGTGCATTCAACGCTTAAGAGAAAGAACTCGCAGTTGATTTTATCAGTCAAACGACCAGATCTACATGTTTAGTCAGTCAAACCACATTTGCAAAAACCCTGGTACTGCTTTCTTTGACAGAAACCTGGGTCTGGTGAGAGGTGGGGGAGACAGTTGTAGAGGGAATGAGGAGAAAGATTAAGAACATAAAAGTCAAAGTGCATTCTGTTTGGAGTCTTGCACCTCAAAATACCTAATACCTGCTGCCTTCAGACTCTATGAAAAACAGCAGCTGTTGAGAACAGAGTGTTGCAAGATTAGGCATCAATTTTAAAATACTTCCTCTGTTTAAGCAGCGTAAGGTGAGGGAAGAGTTACCAAAAGCCCAGGGGCTTCTAGGTATGTATGCAAAGTTTAAGAGCACCACTTGTAAAAGCAAAGCACACACACACACACACACACACGGAGTTCAGATAGTCTTATGATAGTCATATGACTGTACCCTTGAAAACACGGTCAGGAAAGTGATTAGCAGCCTGAGAACTTATTTGAATCCAGGCCATAGAATTCAGCAAAACTAAAAGGTCCCAGTGCTGAAAGAACAATTTCCACTGGTGCAACATCAAAACACACTGCACTGACAGTCTTGACTGTTTCAGTGAATATAGCAGCAGCTGCATGCAGGAGAGTGCTACTACAACAGTGCATGCAACTTTACTTTTAGTAGTAAGAAACTATTACACAGAGGTGCCTGCAGCCTCAATGCTGGCAATATTTTAAGCAGGCTTAAAAACCTCTCGGATCACTTTCTCTTATGGCTGTTTTCTCAGAATTGGTTGCTTTCCTACGGATAGTGCTGATGGTTGAATGTTCATTTATTTTGATATTTTTAAACTTTTCCAACTTGTCTATGTTAGCTCTTGTTATGCATTTTTTATTTTTTTTATTTTTACTGTTTTATTATGTTGTGAGTGGGCTAAGGTGGTGTACATATGGTTGCATAAATGATATGGTAAGAAACTGGGAAGGGTATTGTATCTTACCAGGCCTGTGGTAAAAGAATACAACAGACTTTTAAGATCAGACTTACATCTGCCAGCTTACATCTTACTGCTATCACTGAGATGCCTTGTGGGTCAGATTGGTGGTACTCGTTCCCCCAAAAGAAAGAGGCTGTATAAATAACATCTGATAATGAGATTCAAACCATTAATTATCCTGTGCTAATTCTAAAGTTTTAATGATGAAAAAGAGAAACACAGACCTGGGTCCATATGCCTGGAGCTCTTTCGGAGTCCATTTGGTCGTCTCTGTGTATTTGAAAAGCACAAGTTAGATACTTGTTTTGAAAACCCATTCCTATCCAGTTAGTCTCCACACTCTACACTCCACACTCCTTTGACTCTCCTAGAAGGGCTGGCCCAAGACATTTTGCTGTCCTCAGTGGAAGCCAAATAGTGCTTGCACACTCTCCCTCACCTTGGACAGGCACTGCAACAGTTCCTGTCCCCCCTCATGTTCCATGTCACAGTGCCCAACAGGAGAAGCTGATGCAAAAAATTATAATAATCCCCTCTTCCCAAAATTTACTTTCAAGGTAAGACATAAAATGTGTAGAAGTATGGAATATAAATTACAGACAAAGCTCACCACATACAAAGAGTGTTGTTTCCCATCCCTCAGATGGACCATCTGTCATTAAAGGTTTCTGCAGAATTTACTTGGTATAGGCAGTGACGAGCAGGTTGCATTTGTGTGTTTAAAAAAGCAGGCAGCTGTTACTCTGCAGAAGATGTTTTGCATGTCTGTTCTGCCCATGATCTCACTAAAAACGTGTACAGCTTCCCAATTTACATATAACTAAAGCCATTTTCACTTTCCAATAAAAAAGAAGAAGAAGGCTTCAAAAGCTTCAATTTTCATTTACAGTGAAGCTCTAACTGACCACATAAAAGCGTATGAGGCTGTTGCAAATGTAATTATAATAAAAAGTAATTTCTACTTCACTTTTATGTTCCTTGCTAGAGTGGAAGAAATGAGCTGCAATTTTGAGAACGAACGGAGGCCCTGATTATTTTGCACGCTAAATGAGATAATTCTGCAACAGCCGTTTACAGAAGAAGCTTCTTTTTAAATATTTTTATTAACCTCCAAGGCAGGTTTGGGAGGAAGGGGAAAGTAGAACATTACATAACGTTACATAATAAATGACTACCTTAAAAGACCAAGTCAACAAGAGTCTTGTAAATTGCAGGGCCCAGAGGTGGCCCTGTACATTTTGGTGCTGAAAGCAGAATGTTCAGATGGGGGTTTAAAAAAATCATCTCTTACTTTTTAACCACACTTGCCTGTTACAAGTTATGAGGTACAATGTATGTTTTGAAACACTTAAAAATGCAACAAAATATGCATTTTTGTGAAGTAACTGCCCTTTAGCACTACCCAAAACTCTACTGCCTGAGGCAGGCCAACCCAGCCTGCAAAGTAGTGGCGATGACTTCAGCAAGGCCTGCTCCACCAAGCTCTATGGAGGAGAAATGCTCTCAAGGAACATTCAGTAGCTTCAACATCACATCGCCAGACATAAGAAACGTCACGTGCAACCAAAAAAGACTCTGGTCAAGAGTGTGACACAAACAATAATTATACTGCAGTGAACTTCTCCCTCCTTCTTGGAGCTCTGCAATCAACCAACCTGTACTTTGAGATTATATAATCTCCTCAGGAAACAGAGCACCGGTTTACAGCCATGTGTGCCGAGCCTCTAGACTGAGAATTGTGCAGACCCTACTAACCAACCGGAATTGGTGTGTAACAATTTGCACATGCAGGCACCACGTTGGTCTGAACCTTTGCACTGTCAAAGTAGGTGCAAATCAGAGAGCCCCAACACCAACTGACACATGTTTTTTATGGCCTTTACTGCTTAGTAATCATTAACTGGCTCATTCACAGAAGAGCTTTCCAGGACATGGAAGCTCCCAGTGGTGTTCATCCTGGATTCACCACCTCAGGAGCCATCTCACTACTGTCCATCTATTTTGCAGAATGTAATGTTTTTCATTCCTGTGCATCAATGGAACAAGGGGCGGACTTTTAGGTGGATCTTCTCAATAAGATTATTATTTTGCACCCGCCTGCAACACCCTAAATCCAGTGCTGAAGGAATCATCCCTAAGTGTCCAGCACTGTTACACAGAGAATGGAGAATATAATGCAAGGCAGAGAGAGAGAAAGAGAGAGAGAGAGAGAATTTCTAATTCCACTTTTATTACTTAAGACTTATTGAGAAGCAACTTCATTTGCTTAAGGATCAACTGTTAGTTCCAAGTAATTTCCCTGTGTTGCCTCATTGCTGGAGAATGTATGGAAAATGCTGCTTAGGGGTAAATCCACACTTCCAATGAAGTCTTAAGCTCCCAGTTGACATAAATATCCCCTTCCAAATGGAAATTAAACATGCTACCAAAAAATATAAGTAACACTCCCCAAGCAGCCTTTTCATTATCCGCATTTAACTTAGCCCCACATTTCAGGGCACTATAAAAGGATACAAGAGAATAAATGCAACATTTCCCCCCAAAACCAAGAGAAAAGAAACCTTTCTGCAAATGTACCAAAATTAACACAGTATTCTGGGATTATTGTCATCTCATTGAATATGTGCCCATTTGCCCATTACCATTCTGTCACAATATTAAAGATTCTCCAAGTGATCCCATAGCAAAGAATTCAGCTTCAGAAATCAGCATTTGACAGCACATTTTACAGCACACAGATTGAGAACTGCTGAACTTTATACTCATGCATTACTCTTACATCAGTAGGTTGCAAAAAAATTAGACCACTTGTAATTCTTCTGCTAAATCGCATGGTAGTTTATCATACTGAACCATTACTTGGTTTTTTTATACATGTTCCGCTAATGTCTTGAACACCAAGAAAGTCTAGAGAAAACATCAGCCCCATGAAATTAATAAGAAATCTGGGGCACGAGGCAACTAAAGTCTCCTTGTATTTTTCTTTTTCTAAAGAGTATTATACGCTATCCCCACTGAAACCAACGGGACTTGAAAATTCTTAATCTTGAGCAGATTCAACACTTTCACTATCTTTTTAATCCAATTTTGCCAGAGCACAAAAACAAAATGCCTTAGGTGATCCCAGCACTAACACCAAAAAATAAAAATAAAAAATGAAACAATTTAGATCAGCCACAAAATAAATGTCAACCCAAACTTCAAAAAGTTGCACTTACCTCATGTTTCAGGGTCCCGGGTTCTGAAACAAATGTAAAAATTGGCATAGTCAGAAACTGAAAGTTCACTCCGTTCAACAGTAATTCCTTGCTGTGCGGTTTGGTGAGAGTACACAGAGCTGCTTTGTTTAGCTAGCTGATACCTGTTTTATGCTCCACCAGCCCTGGGGCTCAGCTCGTTATTTTGCAAACTGTGTTCACTTAGTTTTATTGGCTCAGGTTAAGCAGCACTGAACAGCCATAAACAGATTCAAGTTTATGCTTAACTCTGACGACACGCAGCTTTCCAAACCAACAAATCAGCTATATACATTCTGAAATAGTTTGACGAAAGGAAAAACTCAGAAGCTCAGACTTGACAGATTCAACATGTGCACTGCAGTGCAAGACTTCAGGAGACAGCACGGGAGCTTCTCTTCCCAAAGGAAATGAATCTGGGAACTATTACGTCAGAGAATGCAAAATCCTTATTTATTTTGCATTCTGACAATAATGTTTTCCAGGAAGTTTTATTGTGATGCCATGGATATTCCCAATAAAATAACTTGTTGTGCTGGAATTTGGACTCTCTTATGTGAAGTACAAGCATACATAAAGCAGTAGCAACAAATACAATTACTAAGAGCTGTACTTTTCATTGTTGGAAATCTTTTGAAAAGTCAAGGAAACTTCAGCCATATGAGGTGGGGATGCCCATATGCAAAAGTTTATCAGAAGAAAATGAACATTTTAAGAGAGAAATTATCAAATAACACTATACTATTAGACTTGCTACCTGTTTTTCAGCCTACACAGGAGTTTTAATATGAAAGGAATGTAAGGTTAGTTATATATGGTAACAACTGCTAGTTTTTACTAAATATTGGAAACTGCCAACACCAAACTGTAATGTTTTTTATAGATATATAACAGGGTTTTTTTACAGATATATATCAGAGGAGAATTGTCAAAAAGTTTATGGGAAAATGGTCACTGTTTATTGATTTTTGTAACCTGAATTTATTAATGGTAAGCTGGCAATCCTCTGTCGTCCCCTTCTCCTTGTGCCCTCCATCTTTCCAAACATCAGGGTCTTTTCCAGGGAGTTTTCTCTTCTCATGAGGTGGCCAAAGTATTGGAGCCTCAACTTCACGATCTAGCTTTACCTTAATTTTTTCTAAAGTGTATTAATTGTAGACACCCTCTCTTGTTTTGTTTTTGTTTTTTAAATTAAGACAAGGCTACAGGCTGCTCTACTACCCTTACGTAGTCATCACTTACTGACTGCAGCATCAAGTAGTGACTTGCACTTCTGTTTGAACAATCATAGATTGTGCACCACAGATAGCCCTTAAGTATCACTTCTTATTACCGCAAATACAATGGCCTGCATCCAAATAACAGAAGAATCAGCTTTGCGCATCCCAAGGGAGTTTGAATTCACATTTATCAAACAGTAGTTCTCTTTGGAAGGGAGCTTCAGAATCAGATTGCGTCATGGCACTGGTAGAAGGGGTGGGGTGGAGGGATTCAATCAAATATCTCACCGGCCATACCCCAAGCCGTTGCTGCTTGGAAGAAGGAAGAAGAAGCTCTAAGTTTTGCAGATGGGTATCAAAGATTAAGAAGAGGTTTCTGGCTTTCCGAAGTAGCTGTAAATATTAAAAGGTAAAGGTAAAGGTACCCCTGCCCGTACGGGCCAGTCTTGACAGACTCTAGGGTTGTGCGCCCATCTCACTCTAGAGGCCGGGGGCCAGCGCTGTCCGGAGACACTTCCGGGTCACGTGGCCAGCGTGACATTGCTGCTCTGGCGAGCCAGAGCCGCACACGGAAACACCGTTTACCTTCCCGCTAGTAAGCGGTCCCTATTTATCTACTTGCACCCGGGGGTGCTTTCGAACTGCTAGATTGGCAAGCGCTGGGACCGAGCAGCGGGAGCGCACCCCGCCACGGGGATTCGAACCGCCGACCTTTCGATCGGCAAGCCCTAGGCGCTGAGGCTTTTACCCACAGCGCCACCCGCGTCCCTGCTGTAAATATTGCTTAGTGCTAAACTGATGTTCTGCTGGGCTAGGGGCTACCTTCTCTCTTTCAATTCCAACTGTATGTTTATAAAGTAGATATTGCAAAAACAAGAACCTGGACAGAAAGGAGGAAAAGAAACCAGAGTTCTGCAGCTGGCTGACATAAAGCAGTCTTGTTGTAAGGTTGTGCTGGTGGTTTTAAGGCACTAATCCTGCTTTAAAGACAAGCACTGTCTTATTGGTATGCATATATATACACACACACACACACACACACACACACACCCGCCACACACACACTCTGCTTATATACATATAAATCAACAAATGCTGCAAAACACACCCAAAGAGCACAATCATATTTATACTACTCAAAGATAAGCCCCACTGTATTCAATGGAGTTTTCTCCATAGTATGTATGTTGAAGATTGCAGCCTAAATCTCCAGATAATATATTGTCATAATAAAACTGATCTTGCAGCACTGCTGTACCAGCTTCCCACTACTTAGGAAAGTGGAGAGTTTGAAACAACACTATTTCTTACAAAAAGACAGAGAAAACTAAGAAACTGCATGAGCCACATCTAAAATGGCCACTCCTATGAACAAAGTTCAACTTTGGGCATTTTTTTTAAATGTATGCTCAGAGTATACAGTCCAAGACATGAGTGGGCCTGCCCTCCACTTTGTTTGAATAGCTTATCTTGAAATGAAGTACAACTCATGCTGTTTGGCAATACATATTACGTAATGCAACTGCTAGATCTGTTTATTTCCAGGCAGGTTTCCAAGTTTTATCCCTGCACTTTGCCTTACTGAAAACATAATACTGAATAGACCACTTTGGAAGCATCAAGTCCAAACTGGTCTTAAGAACATGAGAATCTCCTTCTGGGATCACACCACTGACTTAGCAATCCATCTCTCACACCTGGCAGCCAAGCGCCCTTAGGACACAATGTCTCAAATCTCAACATGGTGAACTTAAAAATGCATGCCTCCATGACATTTTAGATGTACACATAAAACCACAACATGTATGCACAGCCAAACACACACAAGGCCATGGTTCTCTGTTGCATCTGCATGTTACTAAAACAAGGGAAGGCATGAGGGCAGCCAAGCTTGGCTAAGGGCCAGTTCACACATTACATTTGATATCTCAGTGTTTGAGATGTTTCAAGTGTATGTGTGAAAGCAGCAAAGTGTTCACCATAGATGTAGGCTCACAAGGAAACCATGAACTGCCTGTACACACCGAGGCAGATTTTCCTCTACTAATGTATGGATTGGCCCTTACACATGGCAACTATGAAGACTGAATACAGTGGTGCCTCGCAAGACGAAAATAATCCGTTCCGCGAGTCTCTTCGTCTAGCGGTTTTTTCGTCTTGCGAAGCAACCCTATTAGCGACTTAGCGGATTAGCGCTATTAGCGGTTTAGCGGCTATTAAAGGCTTAGCGGCTTAGCGGCTAAAAGGCTATTAGCGGCTTAGGCTAGAAAAAGGGGGGGAGCGAAAAAAAATCGCAAGACTCGCAAGACGTTTTCGTCTTGCGAAGCAAGCCCATAGGGGAAATCGTCTTGCGAAGCAACTCAAAAACGGAAAACCCTTTCGTCTAGCGGGTTTTCCGTCTTGCGAGGCATTCGTCTTGCGGGGCACCACTGTATTTCTACCTATTTTTGTCAACTTTTAGCTCTACATTCATCCCTTTTAAAAAGTAATACAAAAGGATAGTTGCTGATACTACCTCTGATTAAATCAGATTCAGCTTACCACTGGTCTAGTGAAATATGTCTCCATCAACCTCTGCAGGATTAAATCTTGCCAAGGTACATTCATTCACCTTATCGCATAAACTTCTAATTAGAAGTTCAGGAAGAAGGTTCCACTTTCCTTTCTTTTCCAGTTATCTACCTGACAGGTAACCAGGATGGAAAGCGGTGTCGGTGTGTGTGTGTGTGTGTGTGTGTGTGTGTGCAATAAAGCAATCAGTGGTTCAGCAAAGAGTTGGGGAGCACCTCAGTCTACACTTGAGCAACAAGTTGCTGAAACAGAAACCCTATCAGCTCCTTGTATCACATCCTGACTCCTGCTGTACAGGCTCCTCTTTCTGGTCATCTGCAGACTCGGCATTGAAGATGGCAAAGGCTAGACCAGCAACTCTCTCCCTTGCAAACTACCAAGATGGTGCAGGGAATAAGAGAGTTCAGTCTCCTTGCCAGAGCCTCTGGCTTGAGATTGGTGCAGCCTTATGCAAGCATCTGCTACTGAGCTTCATTTTGAGATGCAAACAGATTTTCTAATCACAAAATGCAAATATCATGCGGGGGTTTTAAGCCACCCTCAAATTACTATATATGCCTGGACAACAATGAATGTCAATTATAGTAACTACCCTGAAACCCTGATTAATGAATAGACTGACCAGATACAAAAGAACAATGTTCCTATACCTATAATAGTTCTTCAGAAGCAGCAATGTAAGCATGTGAAAAGTTTCATCTTCAGAAATTATCTTGGGCACAACTATTAAAAGGTACAGCAGCCCTGTACTTATTTGCATTTTGTCACCCTATCAACTATACTAAGGTCTGCATATTCTTCCCAAGTCCTTTTCAGGGTGCAATTAAACCATTTCAGTTTGAAGGCTAGAGGCACAGATCACACATAGACAGCCTCGTGGATTAAGGAATTGAATAAATTATCATTTTACAACAACAAAGCGGCAATATGTTCTTTTCCAACTTTATTTAAAACCTCTGTCCAATTTCCTAAAATTAGAAATGCATTAAAAATGACCTAATCATGAACATACTTAGATTGCTTTGTCGAAAGCATAATGGTTTTCAGCTCTGGCATCTAATCTGAATAAAATCTAAAGGGAGGGGGAAAATTTCAAATGCTCTCCACAAAGGCCTGGTTTAGACACAACACTAATCTATAGTTTATTTAACCCCGGGTTTATTGTTGGCTTACAAACCTTGGTTTGTTTTAACTATGGCTTGGTGTTATGTGCAAACACAGCACCTTATCTGAACGATGGTTTGTTTGACCACCCTACCCCAGCCACATATGAAGCTACAAGAACAGCAGAAGTGAGAATGCCGCTGCTACCTATAAATGCAGGCTGGTGGGTGAAGCTGGTTATCTCTGTTGTATTTCAGTTGTCTAGATCTGCTGCAATTTATTATACTACCCACCTGATGTTGTTCTCGTTTATAGTGATGTTTTAAGAGGATCTCTTATCTATTTGTTTTGAGTTATTTTAAATGTGGATTTTTACATTCTTTTTGCATTTATTTGTGATTTTTATGATGCTGTAAAATGCTCAGAGATTTCTTTGAAATATGGAGTGGCATATAAAATACCTAAATAAATAAAGCACAGCATGAGGCAAGAACAGCTAAAACAAAGCAAACTTGGGGGGGGGGGCAAGTCATGGTCTGCTTGATAATCCGTGGGAAAACTTGTGGTTAATTTGTGGCTTGTTAAACAAACCATGGGACACGGGTGGCGCTGTGGTTTAAACCACAGAGCCTAGGGCTTGCCGATCAGAAGGTCGGCAGTTTGAATCCCCGCAACAGGGTGAGCTCCCATTGCTCGATCCCTGCTCCTGCCAACTTAGCAGTTCGAAAGCACGACAAAGTGCAAATAGATAAATAGGTACCGCTCTGGCAGGAAGGTAAACGGCGTTTCTGTGCGCTGCTCTGGTTCGCCAGAAGCGGCTTAGTCATGCTGGCCACATGACCCGGAAGCTGTACGCCAGCTCCCTCGGCCAATAAAGTGAGATGAGCACCGCAATCCAAGATTCGTCCGCAACTGGACCTAACGGTCAGGGGTCCCTTTACCTCTACCTAAACAAACCATGGCATAGCATTTTGTGTGGACCTGGCCATTATGTCATGCCCCTGGGAGTGACAAATCAAAAGGAAAATGCTATTGAAATTTCTTCAAAGGGAACCTTACATAATTATAGTCAAATGTCTTATATTACTTTAGGACAACATATCCATGTTGATAAGAGGCAGGGAAGTTTCATCAGGGAAGTATCTCAAATATATTTATTTTCAGGGATGGAGGTTTTGAATTGTGATAGCTTTGAAAATCTAACTTTTACTGCAGTGCTGGAGAAGTCTGGACCCATTTTGAGTTGAGCCTAGGTATGTAAGAAGGCATCGTTTTCTGTTCCACCATTCCCTATATGCAGCACTGTCTGTTCTGCTGCAGTTTGTCTTCTTCCAAAAACTACATTATTTGTCTTACTGTCCCACTATGATGAAATTTCATCACTTACGTAAAATGCGCAGTTAATTACATAAATCATATTGTCATCACATTGCTGTCGCCATTGGTTCCAGCTACATACACTGGCATGCAGCCCCTGAATCACTGTTGCTTGTGGCTCCCAGTGGAAAAAGGTTGAACAGCCCTCAGTTGTGTGGGGGGATCTGGACCTCCACCAGAATTCTGAGGCACCCGGACTGTAGCTATCCCACCCTTGCTGTTTCATGTTGCAACATACTGAGGTAGAACATGAGACACTTAACCGCAGGGTCATGGGTTCAAGCGCTACGTTGGGCAAAAGGTTCCTGCATGGCAGGGGGTTGGACTAGATGGCCCTCATGGTCCCTGCCAACTCTACAGTTCTATGAGTCTCTTATTCCAGGACTTCAAAATGCAATTATAATTATGCTTATAAAAGATCACTACAAAAGAATATCTGGAATGCAACGAACACAAATTAGAAGAAAATTAAGTCTTAATTATAACTGGCAAGCTTTATGGCCTAATTAAAAAATTTATCCCAAACAATAAAAATGACTTACCACCCAAATTAGCTCTGCCACAATTGTCTAGCCTTCCCAAACATTCTTTGTGGACTCCAGCTCCGCACTTTGAACATAAATAGCCTTGACAAAAGGTTCCCCTGCAATTCAAAGTAAGAGGGTGGGGGAAATTAGAAGAAAAAACTCAAACTTTTGTGTACAACCATGTTATTTGCAAGACAGTTTGGAAAGTTGTATTCTGTAAACTCCAGCATGGGCCAGGAACTGGGGGGAAACAAGTCTGGGTTCAGATACCACAACAAGCCAGATTCTGCCTTGCTTCCCAGCAGCCTAGCAACAGGAGGAGGGAAGGAGGAGCAGGGGGAGAAGTTTTTAGCACTGTGCACTAACACCCTGTGTGTTTTCACATTAAACCATAGTTTGCTTTTGACTATGGTTTAATATGACATGCAAATCAGGGCACAGGAATTCATTATTATTATTTTTGCTTTCACATAAATGCACTGTATCATCACAATTTCTGTATTACCTTCCTTCCATAACCGAGAACACATTACAATAGAAATACATTTTTTAAAGTGCAATAAATCTTTCAGGGGCGATGAAGAAAGAAGAAATGGCTTATCTAAGGAAAAAATAACTTTATGGCTCATTAACAATAAAGGCTTCTTGGGGTTTGGGGGCCATCCAGCTGAGGTTCCACTCTTTATTCCACAAAGAGTAAATTGTGTTTAGTAATAGCCACATGTTGCTTCAAACTGTTCAAGGAATGAGGCTCCATGGTTTTTCATTTCCATTGACTTTAACCGACCAAAATCTTTTCATAGACACTTAACCTTCCAATCACCTCATTCATAGAATATTCTCTGTGTTCTGGCCATAGTACAGTTTACAAGAGAGAAATTTCTTTGGACCACTTGTGGAGAAAACAGACTGCAAATAAAGACTGTGGCTCATAACAATGCGCAAGCTGTCAGAATGCTAACTTCAGGAACACCATGAAAAAACATTTTGAAACTGAAATAATGAAAGGAACAGAGTGTTAGGATCAAAAGAAGTTGCATATGCATGCAGAGGAAAATTGAATAAGCAACCAGAATGTTCATTATTGCCATTCCAGAGGAGACAAGCCACTTTTTAAACCTAACAACAGCTTGGCTACTCAGCATTAGAAATTACTAAAAGAAAAACTGTGTGTGTGTGTGTGTGTGTGTGTGTGTGTGTGTGTGTGTGTGTGTTTCTGGTTATCCAGACATATGCTACTTCTCTGGGTCCAAACCTAGGTCTGAAAATTCACACTAGAAATAATTATGGCATGCAGTGGATAAAAATTACAGCTACGGAGTTTTTAAATGATTCAGTGCTAGAAAAACTAAAGTTCCATTTTGGAACCTTTCCACACCATACTCACCTATTTGGTCTGCTTTTCGTTTTAAAAAAGATTATTGGTGGTTATATCTAGTAAGAGTTCTACCATTTTTGTTTTCACCATTTTTATTTCTTTTCTAAATACAGAAGCTATTTTTACCAAGCACCAGCTTTTTAAAAACTCTTTCAAATTACCACTAGGAAATTGCCAGCTTCCTTATTCTAAACGAACTCTTCATTTTCCAGACCACAGAGATGGAGGGCCAGGTTCTATAATAATGCTGTGAGCTCTGCTGAGAAGCCAGGCTCTTCCTTCTATCAACTGTCACATGGCAGCAGTCATTCCACCATGCTACAGTAGAAATGTGAAGAAAAAGGATGCAAGGCCATTCCATCTGCATAGCTAAGAGACTAGCAATGTTTGGGTCTGCCTCTCCTTGAACTGTTTTCATCTCAGTTACAGATAGGTAGCCGTGTTGGTCTGCCATAGTCAAAACAAAAAAAATTCCTTCCAGTAGCACCTTAAAGACCAACTAAGTTAGTTCTTGGTATGAGCTTTCGTGTGCATGTATCTGAAGAAGTGTGCATGCACACGAAAGCTCATACCAAGAACTAACTTAGTTGGTCTTTAAGGTGCTACTGGAAGGAATTTTTTTTGTTTTCATCTCAGTTCATCATTAGAACTTTTAACTAAGCACTGGTACCTGAATTCACTTATTTCCCTCTTCTTGCCTAATACATTTTCCTTTTAGGTTGTGTTTTTTTATATTAGAATCCCAAGGACATGGACTGCTCTGTTTTGATTGATATGTAAGGCATTCTGCGAGCCCTTTATGGCTGATAGTGAGAGTAAACATTTGTGCCTTCAATAACTCTGGGTTTCACAGTTATGAGCTCAGACATAGCAAAGATATTATGCATGAAAGAAGGGATGTAGCATTAAAATTAAATAGTGGGATTTCTCCCTCGCTCCCTCATTCACTCCCATAAACTTGAAAGCTTTTTCTTTTCTTTGCAAACATTTTTTTTTCAGCTTCATAAAAATTTGGTAGGAACTCCATGACCAACAAAAAAATTGTTCTACATACCCCACAAGCCACCAGTTGCACAGATGGGATTTAACTATCAGCAAAACTATATATTTAGCTGCAAATACTCATACAGTTTAGACACTACAGCCAAATTTACCCTGATACTGAATTATCAGTTTCTGCAAGTTGGATTTTAAATCCTATCAGGAGACCTTGTTCTAGCCAGACGGATAATTTTAATTAATTTATTCAATGCAATAGTTTTTTTTCCAACTTTGGTGCAATTCTAATTATTATTCAGCTCCCTTGACACTTACCTCAGAAGCATCTGACAGACTTTGCAGGATGTTACACGAGTGAAGGTATGCATTTTGAAGTTATGAGTATTTGTTTCTCCATAATGCGGCCTTATGTTGGACCTAGAAAAAGACAGTTTTTAGTTCAATATTTGTAAATATTTGCAGAGCACAGAAACCAATGTTTTAGTTGCTGTGCTTAGAGCAATAAAACATAGTCAATGATAAAGCTGAACAAAAAGGGCTGGCAAGGAGCTTCAAAAAGATCTCTCCAAACATTAAAACAGCAAATGTGGTTCAGTGCAAACAAGTGTAAAGTGGTGCATCTCTGGGCAATATCACTGTCAGGAATGGGCCAGCCCAACTCATGTCTGCCTCTTGGCCTCCCTCCTCTTCTGCTCCCACTTCTACTTCTGGACTTCTCTCCACCATAGAGTCTCCCTGATCATTAACCCTGTTACCTCTTCAGTTTCTGACACCTCCCAATCTTCTCCCTCTTCTCACTCATTGTTGCCCCACCACCAATCCCCTGACTCTGAGCCTTCTTCCCTTGGGGAAGAAGCTGGTGCCTCCCACCATACCTCTGCGTACAGCCAGCCCATGACAATCAATACTGATATGGATATTCTTCAAATATATGCAAACACAGTCTGAACTAGCAGTGTCTGACCAGGAAAGAGACCCAGGGGTTGTGGTGGATAGCTTGAGAAAATGTGCAGCAGCTCTGAAAAGGGTGGATTCCAAGTTAAACTGAGTCCTGCCAGAATCTTCCATAGCTGTGTAAACAAAGCTATTCAGCCCTGGGTTACAACTGCTCCAATTTCTACCTTTCCAGAAATGCTACAAAGACATGCAAAATATTTCTAAACATTACACCAAGAGCCATAAACACAGTCTTCCTGACCTTAAAGCACTATGAAGGTTCTTCAAAGGCCTCGCTCTCACTAGCCCCTTCCTGCTCCATCATCAAATCTCCTACTCTTCTCTCTGGTTCCTGTTGCATTGCCTTTCAGCCACATTGCACCCCTGGACTCTCATAACTTCCCACTGAATTATTCTGATAGATCTGTTTCTCGAACAGGTTATTCTGAACATTCCAGCTTCCTATCAGCTCAGCCAATCAATGTTAGAAGTTTCACTGCCATTAGCACAAAGCAATATAGATTTATGCAAAACATACAAAGAATCTGAATGAGTAGAGGAGATTAATCAGAAAGAAAACTCATACAGTATGCCTGGAGGACATTCATTATGATGATGTTTCTATTATGGTAAAAACAATGCCAAGAACAAACATTTGCAGGCAGATTTAGTCATACGTAATACTGAAAAAGACATGAGAAAAATATATACAGACAAGTCAAAATGTTGTTGTGTTTGGAAATGTCCTGCTCACTGTTTTCCATCACCTTACCACCATATCCTGTAGCAGTGTCTATAAAATACTCAAATGATAACTGTTTTATGCTGTTGTTTATGTAAATCTCTCAAATGCTGCTCATTCTTGGAGTCATATCTCATATGAGCCTATTTTTAATGCACTTATTCCTCTTAACTACAACATTGCCTGTTTGTATTTCAATAGTTTATTGGTTAAACAGGGGGCACAAGACAATAATGCAAATAAGAAATGTATCAGTGACTTTGTCATTTGCTCCTTTATGGATTTTCCAGCAAAAGCTACATTTGCTCAAATTGTCATCTGCACACAGACCTGTCTAAATAAGCAATTGGAAATGAACACACCAGCTGCTAATAGAACACATTACCCTGACGTGTGTGACCTACATGTGCAATTTTTATAATGCCAACATTGATTTCAAGTCACAGTAAAATGTAGTTTGTGTCACAATGTGGAACATTTATTTTATAGCTTTGTGTTTCGCCTTTATCACATTAACAAGTGAGTAGAAATATTGAAAGGTGTAGGACTACCAAAGTAATATGCAGAAAACTAATTTTCTCCCAAGCTCATTAGGCATATACATTTCATCTTCACTGCTGAAAAATGTAAGTGGGAGCGTGGATAAACAATGTATTTTTTGTCATAGAAATTCTTTCATGATTCTGTAATATTACAATTGACAAGAGATGCCACATGGGATATACAGTGGTACCTCGGGTTACAGACGCTTCAGGTTACAGACGCTTCAGGTTACAGACTCCGCTAACCCAGAAATAGTACCTCGGGTTAAGAACTTTGCTTCAGCATGGCGGTGCGGCGGCAGCGGGAGGCCCCATTAGCTAAAGTGGTACCTCAGGTTAAGAACAGTTTCAGGTTAAGAATGGACCTCCGGAACAAATTAAGTTCTTAACCCATGGTACCACTGTATGAGGAAGAGGAGGAGGAGGAAGAGAAGGACGACATCTTGGGTTCATCCTGATCTAGAGATCTACTGGTCAGCTAAGCTATACAATTTTGGGCATGCTCTGAACTAACAGCACAAAATGGAAGAGAAAGATGCAATATGCAACAGCAAATGTACCCAATAACAAACACCAACAATGCGTCATTTTCTACTCCGCTTTCTAAGACTTGTTTCTTGAGTTAGGTCTCATTGAAGTGGCAGGCTTATGGCTGGGCTGTACGACTTCAGGCTAGTGAAGCAAGTTAAAACTTGGGGAGTTGCCAGTGTGGTGTAGTGGTTAAGAGCGGTAGACTCCTAATCTGGGGAACCGGGTTCGCGTCTCCGCTCCTCCACATGCAGCTGCTGGGTGACCTTGGGCCAGTCACACTTCTTTGAAGTCTCTCAGCCCCACTCACCTCACAGAGTGTTTGTTGTGGGGGAGGAAGGGAAAGGAGAATGTTAGCCGCTTTGAGACTCCTTAAAGGGAGTGAAAGGCGGGATATCAAATCCAAACTCTTCTTCTACAAACTTCCTCAGTGAAAATTGCTTCACTGGGCAGTAAGCCACTATGCTCATTTCTCAAGAGCAGAAATGCAAGCACAATGTGGGTTTCGGAAACACACACTGCATACTCACACCTAAAGCACTTTGAAGTTCCACAGATTTCAATGGGAAAGTTAGATCTTAGATTTTCATGCACTGAATTCAACTTAAAAGAGTGCTTATATTTGGCTGGATCATGTCCCTGGGTTTGGAAATGGCAGTAGTGGCAACAAACGGTTCAGGGCAGGCGCCCAAAAGAAGCAACAACAAGTAATGTGAAACAGAGGCCACCTTCACCAAACCACAGTCTTAAATCTGAATCTCACCCCACAGCCCCCATCTCCCTTCACAGTCTTTGCTCGATAATATTGATTCACACAGGACAGTGTGAATCAATACTTCAGCCTCCATTCACATGCAGCTGAAAACCATCAATTTGTGGGAACATTCACAAGCTCTCCTACAACTTCCATGTTATTTAATCACCCTTTTCCCATGGATTAAGGAAATATTATGATTCAATACTACACAATTACTTGCATTATATATAAGGACTTTGGATGTTGGATGTCTTACTGTGTTTCTATATTTTGTTGGAAGCTATCCAAAGTGGCTGGGGCAACCCAGTCAGATGGGCAGGGCACAAATAAAATCATCATCATTATTATATGGATTCACATCAAGAGTTCCGTGATTGAATCTGGTCAGCTCCTTAGATCCAAATTTAATGTCTCATTTATACTTTTATGTAATTAGCCACACCTCGGTGTGCTAAAGGCAAGAGAGATATAAGGACAGCCTCTCAGATGACAGTCTACCTTTCTTGCTAAAACCAGTGAGCACAAAGCCCACTTTGGCCAATTGCCGATAAGAGGCTTCATTGCTGGGTCTTCTACGTAGCTCCTTGTGTTAGCCAGAGCTGACTACAGACAAATGTTGTTGGACTCCAACACCCATGAGGCCATGGTCAGGGATTATAGGAGTTGTGGTCCACAACATCTGGTCCACAACATCTGGAGGGCCACAAGTTTGCAATCCCCGCCTTAGGTTTCATGTTCAAGTCCTATCAATACCACCGTGAAGGAAGATGGACACTGAAAATGCTGAAGACAGAATAAAAAGCAGATAGGAAAGTGAAATCCCTCCAATCCAATTTTCCTACAAACGGAAGGAGGAAAATCCTTATCAAAACACTATAATGCTGCATTAACTGTGGGCTTGAAAGCTCTTTTGCTCATTTCAATATTTGACCAGGCATTATGCATTGTGTCACACTGGTTTATGCAGTCAAATTATATGTCACATCTGATGAGACTAAAATAATGTGATATGAAACACAAGAGCAAGATGTGTCAAATCAGAAATTTATTCGGGTACTTCCTACTGGGAGAGCTTCTGAAATGTTTCGTTATTTCAATACTTCCTGCAATGAAAGCCAAAATATTTAATACCCAAGAAGTTTAATTCTTGGGGCATAAGCTTACTCCACTTGCGGATATAAGAGAATAGAGGAAATGACAAAGGCCAGGTTATACCACGTAACTTGAGGATAAATGTGTTTTTAGCATCTTAGTTATAGCATAAACTACGGTATTTTGTTTATTTTATACCTTTTGGTAAGCCCGTGTTCACTAATATCCTTAATACAGTGGTACCCCGCAAGACGAATGCCTCGCAAGACAGAAAACCCGCAAGACGAAAGGGTTTTCTGTTTTGGAGGCGCTTCGCAAGACGAATTTCCCTATGGGCTTGCATCGCAAGACGAAAGCCCATAGGGAAATGCTGGCGGTCGGGAGCAAAGACTTTCGCCCACAGCCGGCCTTCAGAAGAGGACCTCTTCTGAAGGCCGGCGGGGGGCAAAAGTCTTTGCTCCCCCCCGCCTGCCTTCCCCCCGCCTGCCCGGGGCGATCTTAAAATGCTGGCGGGCGGGAGCGATGCGTTCGCTGCCGACCCCCAGCATTTTAAAATCTCCAAGGGACAGCAGAGAAGTCTCTGTCCCGGGGAGATTTTAAAATGCTGGGGGTCGGGAGCGAAGCGTTAGCTGCTGACCCCCAGCATTTTAAAATCTCCCCCTGTCCCGGGGAGATTTTAAAATGCTGGGGGTCGGGAGCGAAGCGTTCGCTGCCGACCCCCAGCATTTTAAAATCTCCCCGTGTCCCGGGGAGGTTTTAAAATGCTGGGGGTCGGGAGCGAAGCGTTCGCTGCCGACCCCCAGCATTTTAAAATCTCCCC